AGCAAAAGAAGATGCAGAGTCTGTAAAAATTATAGATTTTGTAACACAAAATATAGGCCAATCAATAATTTCACAACTTTTTATACATGTGAACTATTTTTGAAAGAAATTATATTTACATATTAAAAAGCTCTAATAACCTTGCTGCATAAATGTGCAAACTCCTAAATTGTTGGTGTCCAAAGATTTTGCACTGTAGGCCAAAATTTAAGGGCTTACGTTTTTTTTCCCCCCAATTAAGAGCAAAATAATTTTGTTGTTGTTTCTATTTTACCTGCTCAGCTATAAATAAAACATAAATACTTAACAAAGCAAAATAAAAAAAATTTAATCTGAAAAACAGTCTTAAATAATGGTGAAAACTTTTTTAAAATTGTCTGTTTTTTCTCTTTTTTTGGTATAAAATATGTCTATTCTATTCCCAGTGAGTCATGCAATCACCTAATAACTGAATGAGCTTATACATTTTGATGTGGTAAAAATAAATAGCTGAATGTCAAATTTAACATCAGAATGAGGGAGAGGAAGCTTTCAAACATGTCATGGTTTTTGATGGTATGTTCGACATACTTCAGAAACTGTTAATCTAATGGAATTTTCTAACTTAACCACCTAACACACAACCAACATCGTTGCAAATAGAGGTGTACCAGAAACACATGAAGGCAAAGGCTCCGCTTTGTTCTTTTGAATGTACAAAAATAGTGACTAATTGTGTTAAAATCTTTGACATGCTAAAATCGATGTAATTAATAAATCAAAATGGATGCTTTAAGGTCCCGACCCTAAAGCAAATCTGAATAATTTACACAGACCATGCTTACTCTGATATTGTTCATGTATCTTGAATTCTTGATTATTTAAATAACAAGTCACAGAATTATCCATTTACGCCTGCAATAATGATAGGCAATGAAAAGTTGCTATATCTGAAGGCAAGCGTCTCAGAAGGAGCACAACAAATTTCAGATTTTTAAAAAGCTGTTTTCAACTCTGTGGCTTTAATGAGGTGTATAGGTTATAAAATGGTCTGGAAAGTTACATCATCCAGCAGCAAAATTACTCTGTGTACTTTAAACAATCTTGACCTCAGAGCGAGAAACTGCATTAAGCTACAAAACAATGGAGTCTTTTATTTTACTGACACATATTACGAAGCTTATGAGGAAGAAATTTCAAACAGTTTTACCTCTTTATGATGAGCAACTATACTCATTAGCCCAGTTTGCATTGCTACCTCTAACATCACCCCAATATTTATATTCTAGATGTTTAATCTTGTGTCAGTTTTCCAACAGACTGCCAAGTTTTTCAGATTTTACACGCTTCATGGTAAATCCACAAGAGAGAAATATTCTGCATTAGTTACCCTCATGCTTCCTCTGAAGCTGTGTGTTGCTGCTGCAGAACTCCAGTTGTCTGTACAGTCCCACACAACTTCCACTGCTCTAAATGTCTGCAAACAGTACATGCAGACATGTACTGGTTACAGTACATGTCTGCATGTACTGCAGACGCCTGTCTGGCATTTTCTCCCTTCTAACATCAAAATATCTCTGAAGCACAAGAGCACTGGAGAATCCTCTCCCTACTCGTGTTTGAAACATCTATTGACATGCAACACAGGAAACTGATCCATATATTTTATTGTTTTGGTGCGTAAAGTAAAATAGCTCAAAATAAGCCCTGCATCAACAGCACTATCATGGTGTTGGGATTTGTGAATTGGTCGGTGGCCTCAACCCACCTTCAATCTAAGAGTGATGTCAGCATGGGGCCTGATAATATTGAATCTGACTGGCCTCACGCTACAAGAAGAAGTAGGATACATGTTGAATATGAGCCACACAGAAAATACGTGGGCAATTAGAAAAGTTTTATAATTGCAACTTTTCCTTGTTTATGTCACATTTGCAATAAGTATTTCTTCTTTTCAATTTGGCAAGCCATTCAGAAGTCTAAAAAAGCAAACCAGACTCTACTCCACAGTTATTCTTGTTTTGCCACCTGTTGCATCATATGCCGCTATCTTACAACGATCCTAATGTGGCAGTCGCAAAGAACAGTAAACATCCAAGAACACCCAACACCTGCTTTCCTGTTTTACAGTCTTGAATAACAAACATCTATAAATTAAATGGTTTTGCGGGGTTGGTTTTAATCATAATTAACTCATTGTGGAGTGTCCCCAGACTATCATCACTTTTCTTCAGAGATGCTTCAAATAAAGCTGCTCAATACGCATCGGACACATGTCTTAGATCCACCATTATCATATAGATGACTTCCACATAAGTATGATAGCTTTACTTTACACACACACTCCCAAACCTATACCACTCATGTGGGCATAGCTGCAGTAAAAAGAGCAAGTCAAACCTGTAACTGCGATAACATATATATTGTAATCAGCACATTGTCCTCAGCTGTTACCAGAAGTCCAGTCATTTACTAAACCACCCGCCTCTCTCCCTCATCCTTCCTCTTTCTTTGCTGTTAATTAAATTGTCCTCACAATTCTGCTGTTGGACCTCAGGGTGGTGTTGCCAAGGCACTTTTGACTTAACATCTGTCATGCATAAGCAATATTATTCATAAAAACAGCAAAAAAAAAAAAAACAGCAACAAACAACAACAACAACATGCCTGAAGTTTAGCATGCAGCTTCACAGTAGGAGCAGGGGGCATTTGTCTCTGCGAGGCAGATTGGATGCACAGACCCAGTGGGAGCACGAGGACACACCATCGCTGCATCGTCTGGGGGGCAGAAGACGCAGCTTGAATACATACGTGAATGATCCATTTTCTCTTCCTCTGCTTGACATTTTCTTCAGCCCTCTGCTGCCTCACTCCTGTTAGTCAATCTGGATCGGAGGGAGCTCTTTACTGCTGGACCCCGCTGATTTCTCACTGTTCAGCAGTGTTTCTCTGACTCTGCACATGAGACAAGTAGTAGGAGGTGTGCTCAAGATACAGAATCCTGACTCAAAAATCCATGAATTAAATAAGTAATTAAATTCAGCTACACCTTGTTTTGATTCCCATATTTTCACAATTTATATAAAAATAAGGTAGGTATTGTAGTTGGCTAATTATGTGAATTTAGCTGCAGATTTGTCAGTTTGGGCTTAAAGTAAATGAAAAAAAGCATCCTCAGGCAACACTCTGACATTTTTCACATTTATAAGAGGATTTATCAAAATTATTTGCATTTAATCTGCTACCAAATAGGATTTAAAAGGTAGTGACATTTCATCAGTTGAATAAAGCTAACCTATCTCACAACAGTCTAATTGCAACTCATGTTCCATAGCTTCAAGGAAAAAGTGAACGTGTAGTTTTTCTATATATGAAGCTTTAAGTTTGATTAACAACAGGAATGAAGCTAAATCCCTCAGCTCTTGGTCTGTGATGGAGTGGTGGAGCAGCAGTACTGTGAAAGAGAGACTCCTTCAAAATATTCTGTAGGTCCTGATAACATTGCTAAAATTAAAAATAAAATGAGTGATAGATGATGAACAAAGTCTGGATTTCAGAGGTCCAGTTCAGAAAAATCAGCACGACATTCCCTTTAATATGAATTTTGGCTTTTGAAGATTACATTGTCAATTGCTGTGCAAATACAAAAAATTCCAAGTTTGCTTTTTTCCACATTTCAAAGTGTATATTTCATACTTTAAACTTATTTTAATTTTGTAACAACCATAAAGTATTTTTCCAGCCCTTAGCAGTATTTTTTTCTTTTTTGCAGGATTTTCTTCATTTCACTCTTTCCGTATTCCTTTCTTTGTCCAGCTTCCCTGTCCTGTCGAAGAAAATCATATCAACAGCATTATGCTGCCGTCACCATTTTTCACAGAGGGCATGGGGTGTTGAGGTTTCCAGGTATTCTCCCACACATAGTGCTTATCTGTGAGCCAAAACAGTCTGGTTTTGGAGGAATTTCATCCACAGGGTTTTGGTTTCCATACACAACTTGCTGCCAGATTTAATTGGGACTTTTTATGTCTTTCTTTCAACAATGCTTTTCTTCTTGCCACTCTTGCCTAATGTAATTTGTGAAGCGCACAGCTAGATGTTGGTCTGACATATCTTGCTAGGTTTGGTGTTTTGTTTTTATTTTTTAATGAACCAAGGCCTTCCAGATTTTCACAACTAGGGATACCAAAGTCTGGTTTGAGCTTCTCAACTGATCTATCAGTTGTGTTTCTTGGTCTTTATGACGCTATTTACTTGGTAATGTTTTCTAACGAACATCTAAAGCTTTTTTTTTTTTTATCATTTGTGCATTTACCAACAATACAACAGAAGAGAAATATAATTTATTGTCCCACAATTTCTGTGCGACAGTTGCAATTAAAGCAAATACTTTGATACAAAATGAACATAAAATGTAAAAAAAAAAAAACGGAATATAAAATAAAAATACTCTAAAGTACAGTCAAAATTTCACCAATACAGTGTAGTTCTAAAAAAATTGTGTACTCCAGTCCAAAGGACCATGCAACTGAGTTGTTTAATTTTAAAATGTGCAAAACATGCATGACTGTAAAATATAAATAACTGCAACAGCAGAGATGTGCAGACGTCAGCAGAAACGTTATTCATATTGAGTAAAGTTGTACACATTCCAGCATTGATGTAAACACTTATTGAGTTTGTTGGGAGCAGTGATGCATCAAATGCAGCACAGCATTGTCAAATAAAACAAACCTGGACTTTGAAGCATGCTGATGGTAAAATGTCCATTCAGCCATTTTCTTCTCCCAGATAATCTGGTTCAAGAATTATGAGAGATGGAGATATTCCCAGAAGTCACAGTGTAAGAAATGATTGACATATGTCGATCATGTCCACACGATGTATGTGGAAGTATTGTGTCAAAATAATGTACATGTTTCTGGGTATTATTTAATGTAAAATGGTTTATTTTGAAAAACCCTTGACAGAAGAAATGTTGTGGCAAAAGACGAATAACGTATCTATTTTCTTCTCTTCAGGGTCCTGCATAACTACATGTTGTGGCGCATTGTGGCCGCGCTAAGTGAGCACCTGTCCACCGCCTTCCGAAGCACCATCCACGAGTTTTCTCGAGAGATCGACGGCACCGAGCAGCAGCTGGAGCTGGGCCGGCTCTGCCTCACTCAGGCCAACAAGCACTTCGGCATGGCTCTGGGGGCACTGTTTGTCAAGAAGCACTTCTCTTTAGAGAGCAAAGTCAAGGTTGGAATATATGCAGACACAAGCCTCTCCATCTGATGGCTTTACTTTAATCCTTTATTTTCTTCAAAAAAAAATCACTTGTTTTCATGTGTCATAAAATACTCCACATTTAGGCTCACATTTCTGTCTAGAGATACTTTACACTTATTGGCCGCTTTATTAGGAACAACGTGCTAGTGGGAGATTATTCCATTTCGCCATACTGAGGGTGGTTGTGGCGACCACTGGAGTGCAGTGAACACACTGTTGTTTTCAAGATAACAGCTTGAGATTATTTTTTCAGTTCAGCTGAGCTTTCAACTTTTTACACTTCTAAAACAAAGTGTAAAGTGATTTTTTTTCTTAAAAACAATTATTTTATAATAAACAGTATCATCAAACGACAGTATCATAGACCAGCTGTTCTTAAACTTTTTCATGCCATGGGAAAATTTGGGCGACCAATGCAGCTTGGCCACCCAAACTGCTCAGGCTTCTTGCCATGGACTCCTCTGCAAACTCATAATGTTATAAAATATGAAAAGAAACATGGACTTTTAGAATGCTTTTTCTCTACTTAATCCACTATTCAATAATTATAATTATTCTAAATTATATTTGCAGAATGATTGAAAATCAGATTTAATTTCATCTGACAAAAATTTTATTTAAAATTTATGGTTAGAAAATGTTTTGGATATTTTTTTATTTTAATTATTTATTTTTTGCTATTTTTCCTCATCTTCCCTCCAACTTTTTGAGGCCTCAGTAGCGCTCCCTGGTGGCTTACTTTGAAAAACACCACAGACTATAAACCACGAAAGGCAGTATAAATAAAGTTGGTAATAGTCCTTTGTCAGTTACGCATATGAAAGTTTTCAACAATTATTGTTCTAGAACCACAAAAATGTTCTTTCTCTGCTGGCAGCTAGCCTTGCTAATTTAAATTAACCTCTAAAAACACCAAAACTAACATATTAAAATAATTTTGCATAGGTTCTAAGTTTGCTACAATCATTCTAATGTTACCAGAAGCACCCAGTGTGCTTTCTGTGCTTCTAGGGCAGTTCTTCCAAAATGTGGTAAATATCATTTTTCACAATTTAACAGTGAACAAAAACACAATCAGCTTTGACAGCAGAAAATAACAAAGACTTATAGAAACAAAGCTTTCGTCAAAACACATTCTAGCCTGCAGCTATGGCAGCTCACACTGTGAAGTCTGAATACAAACATAAGCATATGCTTTCTGGTGAATAATAACTCTCTGTTTTACTTTTTCTGAAATCAAAATGTTCCATGATAAAATGTCCACTCTGACCAGGTCCAGGTACAACTGAATGCATTTCTGAAATGGAAACATTTAAATGCCTTTTAACAGCCCACATCATAACCTCAGTTAGATGTTTTCTAATAGAAACTAAATCTCTTTTGGCTAATGTATCTTCATCGAATAACAGAAAAACATTTTCGATTCAACAAAATTGTTATTTTCATTTTCCTTCTTTTGGAGGTCATCATTGTATTATCTTTATTTGAGTCTATAGAGACAGTGTCCAGCAGAGTATTTTGTCATGGCTCAATGGCTCAGATGGCTGAACTGGGATGTTGAAATCCCACCAGCACTAATCTGAGACATCTACCGTCTAGTTTTGTTTGCTGCTTTTTTTTCACTTTACTCTGTGCCTTGGTCAATCCCAAACATTTGGCATTTACTATTGTTTCACCTGAATACTCCTCCGTGATTTGTTTTGTCTGTTGTCTGTTCTAGGTCATGGAGATAATGATCCCAATGGGATTTCTAGTCTCTATAACTCCGTGTTCATTCTTTAAAATAAAACCCACCCTGTGTCTCCTTCATCTCTTCCAAAACATCTACTCACATCATCACACACATAGTCTAATATACAGCATTTCTGTTCTTTAATAACCTTTTCAATTTCTGCCAAACTGAATTTTAAAGCATGAAGCATTTTGACTAAATAAGCCGTGAATGCTAATTAATTTTTCTGGATGGTATCTTAATTGAAAGTTAAATTCCTGAGCTCCTTACGTTCCAGTTAAGATTCTAATAAGATAACAAAACTAACTTTCAGAAGTGATTTAAACTAATGAAGCCTTTTTGATTATTGCCAGGGATGAAAGCTTTTCATGATCAAGCATTTAGCAGCGGCTGCTTAACATCTCAAAACAACAATGGTTTTGAAGCTTCATGCGTGTAAATCTTGTATTGTGTGGACGGGATGGAAAGGTTTGAGTGAACATGCTGCATTTTTGTCATCGGCCATGCTAGCAATGATTGATTCTTTGTTTAGCATGCCTGTTTTTGTCATGACCACACAGGTAGCCAACCTCATTAAACATCACTCAGGTACCCTACTTTAGGGCAGTGACATTGTGTGCAGCTTTCACTCACTTACAGATGCTGCTTACCTCAGCATCAACAAGAATTAATGAGCCTTCAGGAGCTGCAGCTGAACAACAGACTGCTGCACAAAGAATGACTGGCTTTCTCGCTAAGCTTGTTATGGTGATTGGCAAATGTAGAGACGCGAGCGTCTCATAGGAGTGGCATTTTAAAAAACACACATGTAACATCTAAATAGGTAGCAAAAGGGTAAATACAAAGCTACTTCACAGCATCTCTGTTTTGGAGCATTTTTCTTCTTCAGAAGCAGAGATACAAACAAAATGTTTGTTCAGATGCTTTGATTTTCTGGCAAAATTCAGATCAGGCTTCATAAAGTTTTGACCTGCTGATACTGATGTTATCTAATTTCTCTTTAGGAGCTAAAGCTCCTAATGATTGTTGAGTAGTCAATCATATTTAAAGCTCAAGCAATTTCACACTGTAGAACAAAGAAGTCAGTTTTACGCTTACATCAAATTCAAAATCAATATATTTTTGGAATATTAATATTTTTTTTATTGTTAACATAATTAGCAAAACTAAAAATGCAGTCAGAGTGCATACTTTGGAAGTAAATACAGCTCTGGAAAAAACTGGAGACCATAGTCCTGACCCCCATTGAAAACCTCATTGTTTTTCCACCAAACATTGACTTCTGAACTCTTCTTGAGTTTAACATTAGTGTTGCTGTTGCTATGTGAATATGATCATTTCTCATTATCTGTACATAAATACTCTACTTTTTCCCTCCAGGTACAGAAGCTGGTGGAGGACATAAAACATGCCCTAGATCTTCGGCTGCAGGAATTGGACTGGATGGATGAGGCCACCAAGGAAGCTGCCAGAGCAAAGGTTGGAATCCTAAAATGAACCTTGAAATCACAAACACGACTTCCTGTGAGATCCGATTAGTACTTGAAAAGATTTTAATGACTTCTTTGTGTTTCTTTTCTTTTGAACAAGTCTAACTGATTGCTTAGTAAGATAGAAATGTGATAGGATACATCAAGGGCTTGACACTGAGAAGTGAGGATTGCCTAATCCGGATCTCTCTGTGGTGCTGATTTAGGGTCTGCACTGCAAGATATCCTTTCTAATTCTTTTACAATCTAAAGTTATAATCCTTTTACAGGGGCATGCTGAATATAAAGAGCTTTTCTGTAATCCTATTACACTGGGTTTGCTTGATTAGTTGATGCGCACAAGAGAGTTGGTCAGAAACCAGGCACATATGTGTGAAATTCAGTTGCTGCAAAGTGGATGTGGAATTTTGTTTGACCAATTTGTTTCTTTCTTTTTTGCATCATACCTACCTAATTACATCTCCTCTTCTCACAGCTGAAGCACATGATGGTGATGACGGGATACCCAGACTTCTTGCTCAAAGATGAACTCATTGATCAGGAATATGGGGTGAGTCATGAACCTCCTATTTCACTTTGGCCCATGCAGTCATCCAGTACCCACACATCATCCCCTCCAGTCATTCTTCCCAGCATCCAGCTCTTTCTCTTGAGCACTGGAAGGATTTATGGAACCATCATGCGTCACTGTGATTGAACTCAGTTAGAGAAAAATCCACCATCATTTACAGGACGGTGATGAGACCATTTATAATAAAGAAGCAGTTACAAGGATTGTTGATTCAGACAGATCCAAATAAAACTCTTGTCAAACAATTTGTTTTTAAAAGACGGCTGACAAATAACTCAAAAGAAATGAAGGATTTTCATTAAAATTCTGCATCGAAGTGGTAAACATGAAAACTAGAATTAACAATGTCCTCAGGAAAGGCAATCTTAAAGCGGTTGGACACAGCAGCTACTTATACATTTACACAATTGGATATTTTCTGATTTTTCACATTGCGTTTTAAGTTTTGTAGTTGTGGAAATCATTTTGTAAGACAGTGGACACTGACCCAGAAATATAACAATTTGAAATGGGAAGACAATCTAAGTTTCCACTCAAAATATTAGCGAGAAACAACACCAGTGATCAATTGCAGCACAGGATACACTCGAACTGCACAAGTAGCATTAATTGTTGCTGTGAAAGTATAGTTTCAAGACAACAAATGTTGATTTGAATGTGTAGATGTAAATCAAGTACATAGAGATTGCAGAACTTTTCTGAAAGCTAATTATGCCGTAGGAATTGGTCCTGATGACAGAGTATAATAGCTAAAAGCATGGAAGCTTGTGGGAACATTAGCTACAGAACAATTGCATAAAATCTCATCTGGAAGACAAACTAAGCATTTGTTTTAGTTTAATTATTTTCATATTTTACCTTCAAATGATTATGAATAACTGTAACCTGCACTGTCACATCCAGCGAACTCTGTGCAAGATGCTTTGATTTTCTAATTAATATCATGAATCCAGCTTTATCAATAAACACTGTATGACTTCTTCTTGAGAATTAGCTCTACTAATTTTATTAATAACACATCAACACAAAGTCGCTGCATAATATGGAAGCTAATGTTTCCATCCATTAGGGAAAATTTTAGTAAAAGAGAGAAAGTTGAGTTTCTTCTGCTACTTTTCTGAGTTTCCTCTACAAAAATCCCACAGCATGTTTTTAAGTAAGTTGATGCAAATATAGTTCCCTCTTGGGACTCAATCACTATCATAGCCCTTCAATCCGACATCTAAATTTCAATTTCTGAGTCGGTGTGCACTGCCTACAACATCTGCCAAAAAAAAAATCTGCTTCACCTTATCAGTCCTCTGCGATTTAAGTAGGTAGACCAAGCTTGGAGAGATGCCTGTCCAGGGTGAAGAGGCAGATTCACAGTGAGACAGTGTCCAGCCTTACTGTTTATTCCTTTTTTTCACACCTTCCTGCTGTGAGTTGTGACAAGTATTTATAATAGAATTAGTAAAGGGATCCAACTGCTATTTAGCAGGGTTTCACTGAATTTCCAATCAAAGAAAAAAGGCGTATCATATATTACGACTATCAGGGCTACCATTACTAGAAATTATTTTTGGGTCAGTAAGTTTTCTTGTGAATAGTTTCTGATGAAGCAATGTTATTAGTGTCTTATATCACAAGTATTATTTTTTTATTTACCCAGCAAATACATGAAAATGCAAAAATGTTTGAGGGGTCAATGAAGTCGGCCAAAGTGATTTTTTTTTGTTTTGTTTTTTTTTTGTAATCTGTTAGCCTTGATGATATTTGCTCTCTCTAGTGTTCCCTCTTGTCCTGAATAAACCACAGACAAGTTGATAAAAAACATTATGTTGTCTACATGTGTGTGCTTCTTCTGACTTCACACTTAAACACTTTACTGATACTATAAATGTTTACATTTGTGTCACTTGGTAACAGCATCGACACTGAAAGAGTGTCGTCAGCTGGATCTGGAAGGGCTTGTACATGGCGCATTCAAAGATAGAAAAAAAATCATATTTTTCTGTTTCCTACTGGATATTCACTGGTCAGAGCCAATGAAGCTAAAAATGGAAAGATTCTGATTTATCTGTCGAGCTCAAAGTTCAGTTTAGGGCAGGAGTCTTCAAACTTTCCAACTCAAAGAGCCATGTTTGTCTTTAGCTCAGTTAAATACAATTTGTTTGGCACTGCAAATGTCACATGATGTTTTTAAGAGAGAAATTATAAATATTATGGAAATCTACTGCATGAAATGTGTTGCCATTCTTTAAAAATATATATAATTTATTTAAATGTTTGGAGTTTATAATAATTAAAAGCTTAAATCCTTTACAAAACAGAGAATGAATACATTTTCTTCTATGGAATTTTTTTTTTAAAACTATATTAAAACACAGTAGATTTAAGATGTTCTTTTAGTTTCATTCTGTTGACTAAATTGCTAAATTGTGCATTTTTTTAAAATATAAACTTTATTGTTTTCACCCATATTATTACCTTTAAAAGGTCCAAAGAACCACTTGTAGCTCCAGACCTGGTCTAGTTGTAGACCCCTGGTCTAGAATATCCAACATGATTTGAATCACATTTCTGAAACTTCTTTGTTTTTAACCCGTTTATTCACACTCAAAATTTCATTGTTCCCTTACTTTGCAGTTTGACGTGAACAAGAAGACCTACTTCAAGAATATCCTCAACAGCATTAAGTTCAACATCAAACTGTCTGTCAGAAAAATACACGAAGAAGTGGACAAGACAGCGTGAGTGTCACTTTTTAGTTTTATAATTCCCAACATTATTCTGCATGTTTCAGATGCATCCCTTCCCCTGCTACGTGACTCTCATGTGTCTAACATGCCTAACATATGTTCCCAGAAATCTCTCTATTGCCACGTTAGCTGATGTACCTCTAAATTAAACAAACAGATCCTAAATCAGCATAAACAGCTGCAGAAAATCCATTTGACGTACTTATCTGTAGCAGCCAGGCAGCAGAAGAGTGCTGTGGGACACACGGTTCATTTTTCTAAAATACAGCCCTGCTTGGCTTGGATTGAGTGCATTTCTGTTATGACAACACATTACAGGCACATTAGTATTCCAGCATGCTTGACACAACGGTATCGTTAGCCCACACTCACATACGCCCTCTTTATCACCAAAAAGTGGACGTTTTATCACTCACTAGGTTTTGTCTGTGTTAAATAAAGACAGAAACTGTCTGTCTTGTCGCTCCACCGTCTCTCCTCAGTCCATGCAGAGCCATCACTCCTTTAGCTGGAACAAGGGCATCTTAGTCTGTCTGAGTTAGTCATTTGGGGGATCTATGCCAATCGATTTTACTGGCTTTAAGTGGATTACCATAAAGGAACCATCCATGTTTTTGTATGCACAAAGACACTTCAGCTGCAGAATGTTACAGAGTGGATTTCTCAACAGGGGGTTTGGAGGGATAAAGGCAGCAGTGTTTGTGATTCTGTTCAGTGTGTTTGGAGTGGATAGAGTGTGAGGGGATCTTGTCTCTAAAACCTTTTTTTGTCCAATTTTTTTCCTCAGGTGGCTTCTCCCCCCGCAGGCTCTTAATGCCTACTACCTCCCTAACAAGAACCAAATGGGTGAGTGCATGACTTTCCATCATTCACGGCCATACAAGTGCCAGATTCTGCCACAAACAAGCACACACACAAGGGAACCCTTCCTGTGTTTAGTCACAGACAATTACTCCATGTTGCTGTCTGTTTACAGCAAGTCAAACACAATAACTTCTGGAGGAACAAAAAAAATGTTAATCTCCCTATACCATAATCCCCCTCATCCCTTCCTTTCTACAACAGTTGGATGTTTAATGCACCCCTGAAGGAAAAACAAGCAGTATCACCTTCCTGAGCTTTAACAAATCTAGCCTGGCGATATCACCCCTTCCTTCGCTCTTCATCGTCTCCCAGGATCGGCCTGCCGTCTGTGTCTGCCTGAAGGATTCAATCTTTTCCAGAAAAATCAATGGCATGCTCACAGATTGATGCTGGGGGAGAGAAGGAGTTTGACAAACACAGTCATCAGAGTCCACAGGAATATTTTTTCTTAGCAGATAAGCTCTTACTCCTCTCAAGTTATCCACATTTTTTCCATTTTCCTTCCTTGTGTTCACTGTTTTTACAAGTGTAGTCAAGTTTGATTTTAAGACCAAGGCCATTGAAATGTAAGGCGGATGTGCAATAGTATGACAGTGTATTAGAACTCTAAGCAAAACACATGTGGCTTAAAGGAAACACAAAACTGCATTCCATTAAATATAAATTTTTGTTGTTATATTCAGGTAGGATTTTGGCCTAATACATTTCTAAACACTTGTAACTCTCTCATGTCACCTTTTTTTTTATCTGTCTCAGTTTTTCCTGCTGGCATCCTGCAGCCCACCCTCTACAATCCTGAGTTTCCACAGTGAGTATCCCCGCTGCCTCTCCTCAGAGAGTCCACAGTCGCTCCGCAGCTACAGCACCGGTCGTTAAAGACCGCGTTAGCCTGGAAACCCTCTGCTTCTCCTGATGTCCCAGCACACCTGATTAAACCAATTTAACTACCCACCAAGAGCTCAATTACTGAACAAGCCACTGCTAATGGAACAGGTGTCATTGAAAGGTCGTCTCCCTAAATTTAAGTCCTTCGAGTAATTTGATGGTGCATGAAAGAAGATCACGTCCCTGTCTGTCGCTGCCTGATATAACTCTCTCACTTGAGTATCAGATGAGATTTTTCTAATAAAATACTAAGAAATTACAGTAACAGAAATATTGGCTACAAAAATTTTTAATATTCAGTTGCTGTCAGAGGTTAACATTATCATTATAAGCAGATAGCATAGAATAGAATACAATTATCTTCTATTTGTCAATCAAAGAGGAAATCCAGGTGTGCCAGCAGTAAAGTGAAAGGCAAATTAAAGAACACATATACATTTAAAATGAAGCAATCCAATAACAACTATACAGTAAGATCACATATCCAGTGTATGAAAGACTGTACAGAATAAAATAGCTGATGCAGAATCTAAAAAATGTGCGGAAGCACCAAGATGATCACCGATGCTAAAATGAATGAGAAATTAGAATGCCAGAGTTAAAGTCCATCGTGGTTCTAGTTTTATTGCACAATAAACTGAGAGTGTGCTGACCAAGAAAGAAAACCCGGTTTCAAATACAGTACCTTTATAGCTGCAATAGATAACTTTTATTTAAGACAATCATGTTTTTTCAAATATTCATTAATACTGTCACTATGTAATGACAATATAATATAAGACATAATATCTGTGAAAAAATTTAGCCCCTCTGCCTTCTCCATGTGATCCTACTGCCATCTCCAGATATACAGCACTCCCGGTCAGAAACAGCCAATCAGAGTCAGGAGGAGGATGTTGGCACTGTCAATCAGCTCATGTACACACTGCCAAATGTGTTAATGGCAGACGAACAACTTACCGTTACAGGAAAATTATTTATCTGCCTTCATTGTTGGCCATTCTAACTGTCCCCATTAACAGCAGTCTCCGCTGCGGGGAAGGAGCTGTAGCGCAGCAGAGAGCAAGGGGCAGAGTGTGAGCAGTGCATACACAGGGATGATTGACAGCACTAAGACACTCCTCGTGGCTCTGATCAGTTGTTTCTGCAAATGACAGTAGGACAGGGGTGCCCAAAGTGGGTCCTCGAGGGCCGGCATCCTGCATATTTTAGTTTTCTCTCTGGTTTAACGCACCTGGATCCAATGATGGCTCATTAGAAGGCCTAAGACGAACACTGACTTGCTAAAAAGGTTGTTACTACCACCAGGGAGCAAACTAAAACATTCAGGATGCCGGCCCTCTAGGCCGGACTTTGGTCACCCCTGCATTAGGACATGAGGTTTCACACTGTAGTGACAGTTTTAACTAAGAGAAAAACGTATCATTTCTAAAAGTGAATTACTTTAGCTGTAATTTTGACTGACATTTACCCACATGGACAGGTCAAATCACTTGTGAATAAAAGTTTTATGGACAGATGAGTTAGAGACTCAGTTGTTGACCTCAATGACAAGAACATATGACTAGCCTAGATAATTCTTTTAAACAACAAAAATTAAGTTTTCAACTCTCACATTCTGTGAAACTACACTACACTAAATCGCCTGCGGGTTTATAACTTCCCTGAACAACAAGCATAAAATAATTAGACCTTAATGCTGGCGCATTCAGCTTTTCCTTACATTTTTATGTCTTCATTAGAGGTTATCACCACTACTTTTGCTAGCGGTAGCTATGCGTGCGAATCGATTTTAATTAATGACTGTACCAACACACACACCGCACACTCACAGACACATGTCACCGTAAAGTTATTACTGCGGTAGCCTCAACCTCCCATATAGACTCTCTGACAAACACTCACACCTCTGCACTGATGTTGAGCATAATGACGCTTCAAACAGCCTGTTAGTTTAGCAAGGGAGTCGGCCCAGTGTGAGGTAGCGTATTGACTAGCTGTCAGAAAGTCATTTTCAGATGTAGCCATGTGAATAGCCTTAAGTCTGCCCTCTCATCGCTCTATGGATCTGCATGTACAACCCACACACACATACGCCTCCCGCTCCCCACAGGGTTCAGGGTGATGGAGGGGCAATGTGAGGCTTTTTGGGGAGGACATAAGAAACTTTTGGGAACTTGGGAACATGATTTGTGACATTTATTTTTTATTAATCAGTAACTAGGGAAATTAAGATTTCTGTGCATTGCTTGTGAAACATACATTTGATTCTCTCTAATTAATATAAAAAAAATAAAAAGGTGGCATTGCTTTGATCTGTATTCAATACAAATCCAAAACACATGGATTCAAGCAAAGTCTCATTTGCTCAGTTTTTTGATCCTGCTTGGCTAAGCAGAATTTCCAATGAGGACACAGGGACACAAGTAAAGTAAGCCAAGTAACTGACAGTAATGAGACACCTTAAATCAGTCAAATTCCTTTTTTTGCCAAATGCTATAAAGAGGTCAAGTGTATAGCATTAAATCTGAAAAACCTGTAGGATATTAATGGTGATATTTTGGAAAAATACCTCTTAGAGGGAAACTTTAAGAAAAAATGTAAAGAAAAAAGTGTAGCTAATAGTAAATATTGATAAAGGTCTTAGAACATTATTTATCAATAAAATTATTTCCACCGACATTAGTCTTAATTTGTCAGTCTGTCACAGTATGACACTTAAAGTGCTAACTACCAAGGTTATAACATCAGGGGGTTTTGAACTTGCAATTTTTTACAAAATACAAACCATTACTTTTCAAAAACAACAATAGATTTTATTGAAGGAACAATTGAAATCATTGAATCATGATTTCTAAGTACCAGTCTATTTACTAGATTTATAATTGGAAATATCATAAATATAATGTGGAAGTGTGTGTCTGTGTATGAGGGTGTGATACAAGGACAACAAAACCATGTGGCCACTCCGTTCTTTAAACAAGACGGCTGCTGTTGCTGTGACATAGGAACGTCTTTGTGTTGGTTAAATAAGGTGAGGACAAACTGCACTTATATTGTCTGATTCAAACTTTAAAACGTCAAACCTAACTCTCTGTAAAGTTCATCAACAGTTAGCACTGTGAGCTCATCGGCTCATAATTTTGACTTTCCATTTTTTTTAAAAACGATTATTTCTTCCTCTTTATTGTTCAGGTATGTGTAGACCTCAATTAAGTTTGAATTTCGGTAATTTTCTATTTTCACATTCTGCTTCCAGATCTCTGAACTATGGCGGAATAGGAGCTATCATCGGGCATGAACTGACACATGGTTATGATGACTGGGGTAAGAATGAAAACCTCTCTGTCCATGTTTTATCACATAAACAAATGCTATTTTTTGCCATTTTTTACTTTGCCTCCTCACTGTGCTTCATTATTATTTACTTATAACTTTTGATCCCAGTCAAAAACTACCATGATGCTCATTTGATATCTGCTATTCACCTAGCCATCAACTGGACAACAAAAGCCTCTTAAGATGGTGTATTTTGTGCTTATTTGCAAGATAAATGGATTTAACATACAAACAACGTAAGGGGAATTTGTAGTTTAATCTGTTCTCTAAAATCTGGAGCAACAGCATGTCTTTGACTGTGGAGAAAAGTTATAGATTATGCTGACTTCATGCTAATATTCAACATCCACCCTGCACTTTTGCCCTTCATCTTAGTGATGCAATGGTTCATGTCCCTAGGGGGCCAGTACGATCGCTATGGCAACCTCAAGCAGTGGTGGACTCAGGAGTCCTACAGAAAGTTCCAGAAAAAGGCTGAATGCATCGTCAAGCTCTACGATAACTTCACTGTATATAACCAGAAGGTGGGCTTTAATTCATACAACACAAGTACCACTGACTGAAAATGCATTTGTTTTTATTTTATAACACAGTTGATATTTGTACATACCTCTCATTGAAATATAGTGATTCTTTTTGTGAAAATAGCTTCTGAGTTCTTAATTTCTGTCCTGTATAATAGAGGCAGGTGACACTCACAACATATGATTAAAACTTGCGATACAACTAGGGACAATTGATCTGAGTGTCCCGGCTCTGACTGTTCTGCTTTCACTTCATTTGTTATAGATGCATAGTTAATAGCATTCTAGTGGACAAATGGCTTGGTAGAGGCAAAACCTTATTCTGTGGCAACAGTGTTTTTAGATGTTGTTCAAAATTTTGCATGATAAAAACGTTTGGTTCATTTAAAGTGTTTTATCAACAACAAATTTATGTAAACGGTCAAACTACAGAGTTGACGCTTCTCCCTGACTCACATTGGTCTAATCTGTTTTTTTAAAATATAGTAGTTTCATAAAACCTAATTAGATATTCTCTGGGGGGGTACAGATCTGGAAACTTTTTCAGCAGAGGTGGTGGATCAATCCAAAATATTCATAATATTGAGTCCATATCAGTATACAATCAGTAGTATCATAAGATGGATACTTTAGTTTCAGATTCCCTCTTTAAATTTTACATTATTTTTGTACTATATTTTCTCAACCCTAGAGTAAAAATAATTTTGCTTCAATTTGCTCATGACAATTTTTTGCACTTTTTTTTATTTAGGAAACAACGCTCACAAACTAGTTCTGTTTTTCTATTGGTTTTCTTTATCGTGTTAATGTTATTAAAGTATCTTTTTAGACACCAATAATCTTTATCTGAATTCTGTCCTAGGTTTTAGCAAAATATTTTAAAGGAAAAATCAGTGTGTTTGAATATATATCATATTTGAATAACAAGTATTGGTATCGGTGTGGGTTTTGTTGGCTCTGAGTTTTCTTGGTTTCAGATCGGTATCAAAAGATGCATTACTGTAACCCCAACTTTCCAGGCAACTGGTCCTAAATATCAATTTTATTTGAGCTCCTGAGTAATCCCTCTTTTCTTGTGACACCATATTCTGTCATGTTGTAAAATATTCAGACATCACTACTTTATATCGATTCTCACGTTTTGAGCAAATTTGCTTGTTCCACGGACAGTTTTTAGCTAATTACATTTTTTAATTAACTGAATTCAACTGTATTTTATTACAGTTTAAACCTGAATCAGACTGATCTGAAATACTTCACATTGAATTGACTTCAACATGATGAAGACCATTGGTCAGAGGAGTCAATGCCGGTTGCATGGCAGACTTAACACTATAAGTCAATTTAACACAATAAAATACATAAGTATTAAAAAATGTCACATAGAAAGGATTTGTCCACCTTAATACGTCTCACGGGGTTTCAGTCCGTTCTTGATGTTTTTCTTGGAAACAACATGGTTTATGATGCCTTGTTGTAAACAAGATAACTATCTGAAAGCCTTCATTCCAAATTCTATTCAGACTCTGCTGAGCAAGCTCTGCACTGGTGGGAACACACTGTCATAGTGGAGTCGTCTGGAAGAAATGGTTCTGAACGTTTTGTTTTGTTGGTGCTCCACTTCTTGATCATCTTGAAAAGGTTCTATCACATGTGAAATTCGTAGCAGCATTTTCTTTATATGCAAGACCATTTTTGTGGAGTGGTGAAGACTTAACATTTTTCTTTAAAGATTACTATTGTAAACAACTATCATTATCATCAGCTGCTCATTTCTACTTAGGAATGTCTCCAGCCGTCAACATGTGAGAGAAAGTGCAGACCATGAGCAGATCGGCGACAAACCCATGATCTTCTTGCTGCTAGGCAACAATGCTGCCCATTTCTAACTGAAGATGCTGATGATGATTTAAGGACATCTGTTCTTTTTATAGCAATCTGAATTCAGCTGGAAAGTCTTACAGCTATATTTCTGCTTTTAATTAAATTCAAGTTAATAGTTTGCTCACCATTTTCCACCTGTGTAATGTGGAGTTTTTTGTTGGAAAATGAATGTTTTTAAATAAATCTCTGACTTGGAATGATTTGAAATGCAAACATCTTATTAATCTACACATCTAAAACAAAACTGTGCAAAATTGGTCTCACTGTTAAGCATTTTAGCCACGACTGCATGAAGTCAAAACTAGATAACTAGTGTTGGCTTAGGAAATAAAACAGAAAGTAGCTCCAAGAAATCACAATATTTGTCCAAGAACTAATATGATGACACTTTACAAAAGAGCAATGTCCAATTCATTGCATCGTTTTAAAATTACAAAATCAAAACAAAAATAACTGCTAGCTGCACAACTTGAAGGTTTGACATGTAAAGTCAAAGTGACCTTTGACGTGAGTCATACAAAATTGCAAGCCCCACTGGAGCATTTACCATTGTTTTGCAGCATAAATCTCCTGGACGGAGTGAACTTGATATTACAGTCCTTTAAAAAGCTTTTTACTGTTTATTAATCTTCCGTCCTTCCTGTGTGTTCAGGTGAATGGCCGCCTGACATTAGGAGAGAACATAGCCGACATGGGAGGACTAAAATTGTCGTACTACGTAAGTAAAAAACTTTGCAGTTATAATTCAATTTTTCCCCCACAGCTTTCTGAACATTTCTTAAATCCTAGTTTGTTTCATTAAATGAGTAAAGGCTGAACTGCACTAGAGTCGAGATAAAAGATCTGATTTATTTAAATTTTTGAATTTCCTTAGAAAGAGAAATGTGGATGTTCTATTATTGTCTGAGAATATATAGTAACTGAAGAGTATTTAATGTTGGTAAATACAAAAATTAATCTCCCTACAGTTACATAATTCACATATAGTGCAAAAACCTTCATACCTCTTTTTCTATTAATATCATAAATTATTATGCCTCTCTTTGGGATTTTATGTGACACATAAACTCACAATTGTTAAGGAAATACAGATTTTTCAGAAGAATGGGATGCATTTTTATTCATTCTTAATTAGTTGTACACCTCTAAATAAAATCCAGCAACACCAATTGTCTGCAGAAATCACCTAATTACTAAATCAATTCCACTTTTGAAGAATTTAATCTCAGTTTAAATGCTGTGAAGAGAGAATGCACCTCCAACTTTAAAAAATTGTGGTAAATGGTCACAAATAGTAATTTGTCAAAACTACTTTATGTTTTCTGAACTTGACAACTTAATAATCAGAATAAATTAAGTTGGATAAGCTAAATGTGATTCATTGTGACTAATTAATGGGCCCCACAGGTTTGTTAGAGTGCATTGGTGAACAAAGAGCATCATGAAGATTTTTGAACACAATAAGCAGGTCAGGAGAAAGGTTGCAGAGAAAGAAGAGTGGTAAGAACAAAGCAGTAGCTAGGAAAAAAACAGCCATAACAAACCCTCTTTGCGGTTTTCTAAAGGCCGTGTGGATGAGACAGCAAACAAGATACAAATACATCTCACACTTTTTTATTCACAATTCTGTGCTACTTTGTACAGGTTCATCATAAAAAATCCCAATAAAATAAGTGAACATGTATTTTGTAGCATGCTTGAATGTTTTCTGCTACATCTGTTTTCTTACTTTCCTTTGAAAAGTGAGGAGCATTCTAACATCTAACCTGAAGGTTATTTGTTTTTCTATTTTCTGTCAATCATTATCCCTTCACTTCTCCTTGCAGGCTTATCAAAAATGGGTGAGGGATAACGGTCCAGAGAGGCCCCTCCCTAAGCTAAAATACACCCACGAACAGCTGCTCTTCATAGCCTTTGCACAGGTGAGGAAGTTTGTCTCCGGCTCTGTTTTTCTTTACATTTACTTATCATATCATATCAGGTGCCACTCTCAGCTGGAGCTGGAAACTAGAGGACAGGTTGTAGGTGTCACATACCAGCATTAGCTGATAGATACATTAAGTATTAGAGGGATTAAATCAGCAGAGCCTTGATGACAGCACAGTGTCTCGGAGCGCTAGACCACCCCTGATCCTTTTAAGTATTACGAGTCGTCATTGAAATTCAATAGTTTCATTGAAATTCATAGCTTAATGTAACCGAGGCGGAATCTGAAAACGCTTAAGAATGCAACGTGGTGTGTTTAGGCTCATTTTTTTAAAACTCCTGCCCTGAGGGAAGTGTTATGAAAATCAGGAATATGTGCTTACATTCATTTGAAATGTCATGTGCAAGTGTGAATAAGATGCTTGAGGCGATGCAATCACCTCGAACAAAATGAATCCGACCCTCCAACCTGCACAGCAGGCTGACACACGTGTCTCTTAAACAGAAGACTTATAAGGTTGACTATAAAACCCAAAATAAGTTAAGAGAAATGTGATCATCACAGCATGAGGACTTCAAAGGTATTAATCACAAACAAATTGCAGGGGTTTATTCCATTTAATTAGTCGTCACATAAGAAACAAGTCCGACCACACAGTTACTCTGTGTTCGACCACATCAACAATAGAAAAATGTGAACCAGAGAAAGCTGTATTCGATTATTTTCTGTCAACATTTCTGGTCACTGTACACAGAGGAAGATTAAAAAGTACTAAAAAAAGAAAAGAAACCTTTAAACAAATTATTTTTAAGTTACAGAACCAGGATCAATTTCTAAACATGAAAGCATTACCTTTAAATCTAACACTTGTCCTCTTTTGTTTTTTAATAAAGTGGTACAGTTAACGGTGCCCCTAAAATTACATATATTTAAATATTAGATCAGCATTGTTTTCAAATTACCACTATTTTATGTTGATCAGATTTCTGAGATGGAAGTAGGAACTACTGTTTCCTGACTTCTTGTTTCTCTGGGGTATAATTATTTGACATAACACAAAGACCAATTTCTCTCAGGTACAAGCTGCTAAGCTGAACGATGACATTTATCTTGTCATTATTCACAACATGTAATTATATATAAAGTTTTTCAAAACAGATGAGTTTAGATGAGATCAAAGTTTAGTTTAAGGGCATCAAACACCTCAGGTGGATGACACATGCATATTATTTCAAGAAAACAATGCTACATTTGTTGATCCAACTTTTGGAAATACTCTCTACTTATTTATAAATGCATTTCAGTGATTCTTGAGAAATGAGACTAAATGGGTTTAAATTTTCCCACACATTTTTAAGTTATTCTTCCAGTGTATGTATACAAATATGACAAACAATGTTTTGGAAATGTAAACATTTTAAGGTACAGGCTCCCAGTTGCAACATGTTTTTTGAAAATTACAAAATTCTGACAAAGATAAATATAAAATTATTTTTAATGACCCTATTACTGATATTTTTACTCAGTTTTACGGACAAATGCTGCTCAAGAAACAAAAAAATACACTATTTAAAATAAAAAACAACAAAGTCCATCTGAAGGAGTTCACAGTGCATGACAGAGTTGACACAGAACTGAAGGTGGTGACAAACTAGTGAGTAAAACAAAAAACTTTATACATGTGAAGTAAAGCCATTTATGTAAAATATATTAAAATGAATTAAGTGCACACTTAAGTGAGATTTGTTGACACTATCACTGAAAGAGCCCCACTGTCAGTTTGAAACGCTGACGGAGTTGACAAAATGGCAAAATACCTCAATTAATATGATGTTACTCTGAAGGAGGCCATATAGACCTCTTGCTGAGAAAGACCTCAGGTCTTTCTTGGCTATAGGTCTTCATGGTGCTTCATTATGCTGGAAGATGCTCAAGATAATCACCGAATTGTTTCTAGATTGTTTCTGGTCTGCCCTGCTGGGCGTCTTTATCCCACTCTACATTCAGCTACCTCACAACCATGGTGGCTCTGCTGTTCTTGTACTTCCTGCAGAGTTTCACACTTTAATTGATGTCTTTCTTAGATATTCTACACTGAGAAAGCAACTTTCAATGTGTTAATATACAACTAGCCACTCTTCATATGTGACTGCCTTAACATTTGTATGAACGCTTCTCTCTTAAACTTTTTACTTGTGTGCTGCCTCGCTCTGTTGCACATTTGCTCAGCAAAACTGGTGTTTAAAAGGCATAAGAATTTATCACAAATGCAGAAAAGCTGTTTAAAACACCATAAAAAGTAGTTAAATAAAAGCACAGCAGAAAATATCAAGAAAAGCATAAAGTGACCAGAACTACAGCTGCAGAAGCTCTGGTATTTTTTTTCTCATTTATTGTGATACATGGATGCTTATAAGGTCAATGCAATAAAACTAACTGGAATTATATACTGTTTTCTTTTTATAGCTTTTCCATTTCAATTCTGTTCCAGCCTCTTGATATGTATATTTGTTTTACATGATTACAAATAAAAAGAAATAAAGATCGCACAATACAACCGACACAAAAGCTATTGAAAGAGAGACGACATGGTGTTTGGAGCACTGACCTTTGACACCAGTGCATCACACTATGGCCACACAAGGTCAAAGAAAAATCTCCGGGGAGTTTTGTTCTTTCTTTCTTTTAATTGCAGGATTCCAGTTTTTTATATTCTATGAGCAATAGGTCTACACTTTAGAGTTCTCAGTTCATCCCTTTTCTGAATTGCCAGTAAGCCGCCACATACTTTTTTAATATGGTGTCTTTAAAAAATATATTTTACTAAATCAAGAAAACAGCACTGTTGACAGAATGGTTTTTAAAATTACTGTTTAGAAAAACCATTCTTAAGGCAGACTTTGATTTAAAAGTTTTTCATACTTTCACCATGTTTTCAAGCTGCAAAATGATATAAACCCTTCAAGCCACTGTTATGTTGTTTTGTTTTTTTCTGTCAGAACTGGTGTATGAAGAGAAGATCTCAGTCAATCTATCTGCAGCTGCTCACTGACAAGCATGCACCAGAGCATTGCAGGTGACATTTTTATTTAATTTTGGTTTTGAAAAATAATTCTGCTATAACATTCATGAATAATGTCATATTTCACACATTCCACATCACTTTTAATTTCTTTTTATTCCTATTTGCAGGGTGCTGGGCAGCGTTTCCCAGTTTGATGAGTTTGCCCGCGTTTTCAACTGTCCTAAGGGGTCTCCGATGAACCCTGTGGAAAAGTGCTCTGTTTGGTGACCCGGTGACCCTCAATTTTCAAGATCCAAATGAAACTCAGCGTTTCTTCAGACACATCACATATTCCCGTAGCTCATCAGGGAGGAAACAGTGTTGAGACCCCTGCCTACGGATCATCATCATCACTGTCAGTGACTGAGTACCACTGGTCAAACCAAGCATAAGTCATGTGACTGTAGCTTGTGTACAAATATCACGTGATTATAAATATTTTTCTATGTTTACATTTATTTTGAAATCATCTATTTTTCTATTTAGCAGATATCTCATACATTATGTTTAGAATTCATAGAGTTTTGTTTCAGGTTAGGCATTATGTTTTCTTGTTTGCTTTTTTATGAAAAAGGCTTATTTCATAGTGAAAAAACTGTAAATTTAGAGTGAATATCTTAGTGCCAGTCAAACATTCAGGAAGTATCCATCTGCAGGCGTCACTTTCATTCTCACTACCATTTCCAGTTCATAAATTCTTTGCTCTCATGCCAGGAAATTAAACATCATATTCCCCTTGCTGTGGCTAAATTCCTATTTTTATTATCCTCCAGAGAAAACACATTTACATTCATGCGTACGCATTTTTTTTTTTTTTTTGTTTGTTTGGGTTTTTTTTCTCACTGTATGGTATTAGAGCTAACTGAACTTTTTCTGTTATAAATCAATTAGGATTAACAAACTTATTTCAATTCACAACATGAAAGATGATAAAAAATTTGAAGAAACCCAGATGATGTCATCCGAGTTAAATGGAGGCATACGTACAAACATACTGTTCCAGGATAGAGACAGGTTCTGTGTACAAAAGATGAGCGTAGTTTGGTGTAAAATGTTTGTATCGACCCCAGGAAAAAAGCAAACTTTGTAAAGATGCTGACTGAAGCTTGTACGAGAGTCATTATCTGCTGTGAAATGAGTCCTGTATCAGCATGGGGAGAAAGGCCCTTTAGAGAGAAAAAATCCTCTCCAAAAGCAACAAAAATAAATAAATAAATAAGATTACAGTTTGCAAATGCACTGATTAACAAAGATCTTAGTGTTTGGAGATATGTCCTGTCCTGATTAAAACCATCCCAACTGTGTACCACAGAGGTGGCAGCATCATGTTGTGTGTATTATGAGACAAGTGCACTTCACACAGTAGATGGCATTTAGTAGAAAGATCATGAGTAAAAATCAAAGCAACATCTCAAAATCTCAGCCTGAAAGTTGAAATTTGGTATTAAATGAGTCTTTCAAATTTGCACTTTACTACACCTTACTGACAATTAGTTACAAAGTAAGTTAAGAACATTAAAGTTAAAGTTTTGGAGTGGCCAGTAGAAATCCTTGATTTCAGTGGATTTGTTGACAGTTTTTTTTTTTTTTTTTTAATGTGTGGGTAAATAATAAAATTAAATATTAAAATTGGCTAAAATTCCATCTTACTATTGTGAGAGCCTCATGGAAAGAAACCCTAAAACAGTTTAGAGACAATTCCTTCAGTTATTAGAAAACATTGGTGTTTCCTCGCTCTGGGGTTGGAATGTAAAATGTGTTGCAGCGCTGCCCTCTTGTGGCCACGGAGAGCAATGGTCAGTGTTCAGCTCGTCTCGACTGTAATTAATGTTTGCCTGCATTGGTCTTTCGTTGCTGTGAGTGTTTGTAAGACTTTCTTATTTTATTTTTATTTTATTTTTTTTTCGGAAAAAGAAAACAAACAAAAAAAACCCTGTTGACTCATGCTGAGTACTTTTCTCAGGATTTGTAGCAACACGCAGCACCAAAGAGAGAAATCGTCTCTTCAGTCCATGCTGCCAAAACAGAACTATTGGAGGTCACATGTTACATGTAACTCATCACAAAACCCAACATCCTGTACAATAAAGTCCAACTGTAATTCTAAAGAATCATACATTTGTACACAGTGTTACTTTTCTATGAAGAATTTGTTGATACCAAACCAGAAGAATGATTAGACTCTTTGTACAGTGAAGAAGTATATCAGATATAATGGTTGTTGAAGTGAGTGCATGTTTCCATCCAGAGCAGCATTAAAACCTGACTGATTAACATAGAGGATCACACATGCGCCTCAGTGTACAGCTGCTAACCCACATGTGGCTGCTCTCTTTTCCTCTCTGTTGGTCGCTGTTTAATGTTCTAATAAAAACAAAGGCTCACTCACCGTGTCCAGGTGGTTCAATAACTGCGTTTTCATCCAGGTTCTCAAGATCTGAGTGATGTGAACTAAAACACTTGGCTTAATATCGTCAGGCATTGAAAGTCCACCTCTCCCACTCTGCCTCAGGGTTGTTTATGACATGCAAACCCTGCCAGAAATCAATACAACACAATCTGTATAAGCTAGGATGTTGTTTTATACAACATACAGAGCCTTGCATAAATTTTTACACCATTAACCTTTTATATATATTTTGCAACATTGCAAAAACAAATTGCAATGTATTTGAGCTGGAATGACTCTTTATTATTTTAATCCATGTCGCTAAGAATAACTGTGAAATGTTCAAAGACTCCAGCTAATATTTTTAAACATAAATAACATAATAAATGCAAGTTTGAGCAGTATCAACAGCAAAAGTTGATACAAAGTCTTTAGTCTTCCAGCCTCCACTGATCTGTGTACTGCATCAGAAACAAGCAGCTCAGTCAGCACTATGGATTTTTAATAGATTGTGTGGAGGCATGCATATTTACACTGATGTGTAAATCACTCAGCAAATCATTCCCAGCAAATAAGAGACCCTGTATGGAAGATTAGATTTGCAGAACAGTGTTTGGTGGCATAATTTCAATCTAAAATTACTGTTGTTTTCTTAACCAGTATAAAACACCAGTGTTGTTTCTTTACACTTGTGTTAAAATAGAAACATGCCTGATTTGCGTTCATGCTCCGATTCAGAACTTTTACCTATGGTGATATGCATCTCAGATCCTCCGGAAAATAGAAATTGAGATTTAGGAAGCTGGTAGCTCTCAAAAAAAATTGCAGTTTTTTTTTTTGTTTGTTTTTTTTTCATTTTGATTCTAAAATTTCTCCCATATCCTTCAAAAAAATTAATGTGCAGAATTAGAAATGATCTGATGCTCCCAGAAGCATCAGATCAAGTATGCCATCTTTTCAAAGTGGTATTTCATTTCAGGACATATGATGTCTGGACTTGAGAATGTCTTCTCAGCAGTTGGATTTGCAGCAAAGTCAGATGACATTAATTGTTTTCTAAATCACAGGACTTTAATTTTGAACAAGAAAGATTTTTTTTTTCAAACTGCTGCTTTAAAATGTAAATTTAATCTTCTCTGAAACACTGTTTCGTGAGGATTCTTTTGATCAAAAAAGGAAAGCCAAATGGAATGTGCAACAGCTAACCTAAAATATTTCAACTCAACTCACAAAACCTAAGACAGAGATAAAAAGAAAGAAACAGTCGAGCTAAAAAGAAAGCTCTACTTTCTTTTTAGATGTGAAAATGCATTCAACTGTTGTGTTTTTGCTTTATACAAAAACAAAACTGATTACTGAAACAGTTTCAGTTTTGCTTCAAGAATTTTCAGAGGTGCTGTTTTGATAAGCAGCCACAATTTCCTTGTAATTGATTTCCAAGAATTGATTCTGGTGAAGTGATTTTTGTTTTAAAAACCAAGTTATTATTGGTCATAAAGAGCTCCTGCTAGAAACTCTGTGCTTCTGTTTCTTTCATCACACCTGGTGAAGCCAAAGCAGCAACTGTCTTTGAAACACTGATATTGTATATAAACAGAAGAAGAAAATAAAATTAAAAAAAATTAAATTAAATAAACATATAGTGATAAGGAAATAATTTACATTGAATTACAAGACTTTTTTTAATAAACGGAAGCAGCAACTGTATTTGACGTTTTGGTATTTGAAATGTTAATATATGAGTAAATACAGCAGTCAATATAAATCACCACTCAAGTGCCTGCAGCGCCTCCCGGTGGTGAGTCGGGGTACGTGCAGCCTGAAGAGCAAATTATTTCACTTTCTGTTTCGGAGAAACGTGATTGAAGTTTGTGTTGACGCTTCAAGACAATCTTTCCCTTTCTGAACAACAGCTGTCGATGGACAACACAGAACCAACCCGAACCTGTGAAACATGGTAAGAAGTGACTCAGAACTGCACTGAACGATAAATGATTTAAGTTTTGTTTTATTATCAGCATAAACAGCCTGAATAATAACAATACGGATCTTTGAGGTGTAGATGGTAAAGACGCCTTGGTTTTAGAACCAATTGTTCACATTTCTATCTCAGCCCAACCTGAAGTTAAATGTCTGGAAGCTCTTTAAGGTGTTTGACTAAAAGAAGCGCAGGTGCAAAAAGAAAGGTATCACTTCAGTGTGGCCTAAGTTTGAAATGACATATTTGGAGTCGCTGTGTAACTTCTCTGTAGGTCCTGGAAAACAGCTGGTCAAAATAAACAATAAGTTAACTTTCAAATTTAAAATGATTTCTGCCCCTCTGATCAGAGTGAGTCATGTTGTTAAGACACTGTTAAAGGGAAATAACTCTTGAATTCACTTTTAGGGTTACACGATCTCACCCTGTGGAGTTGTCAGTCCTTGATAAGAGAACTTCCTGGTTCAAAGATTCAAATCTTTACCAGGTCATAAAAGCATTTAAAGTTATCCCGAAGTATTTGTCTCGTGAACTTGCACTTTATTTTCCCTCTCAGCCACAAAGAGGTGGCAGAGGCCAACTTCCCTCTGCATGAGAGCCACTGCAAACGATTTTTGAGTGTCTGTCCTGACTGTGATGAAGCTGTCCCCAAAGACCAGCTGAGCCAGCACAGAGAGGAGCAGCACACCCAGGTGATCATCCGTGTATAAACTACACCGCTTTGTTGTTTTCCAATATTTTCCCTGCAGAATGACCCTAATGAAGTTATTTCCTATCAAACCATTTCTCTCTGTCTAAAGGTGAAATGCTCCAAGTGCAACAAGAAGATTGAACGGTGTCACCTCGAGGATCATGAAGTGAGTTTCTTTGAACTCGTACAACGTTGTGTGGAGAAACATCTGACATCTCAACCTTGATGTCTTTCTACGTCCATTTTTTGTTGTTGTTGTTGTTCATTTACATCCAGTCTCACTGCTTTGGACTGAAACATTTATAAGAAGTTAAGGTTAAGGAAGTCTAGGGCCAGGAATGAGATAAAAAATAGACATCGCTACAAAAGCAAAATAGATTATACAAAAAAAAGCTATATCTTTGGGATCTCCAATTCTACATGAAACTTTTGGTTCACCTGACTTTAGCTGACTGAAAACCGACGGACTTTGCTTCAAAGCCCAGTTAATGATTAGAATTTACCAAAACTCTTTATGCTTTTCAGTATAAGCTAAGTATACTTCAATTGCCTTTAATGTAGTAGTGCGATATCAGTGCAGAAAGGACTTCTTGGATATTATTTTTCAAGGGTCAGCTTTGTCTGAATGGCGTTGTCTCATTATAATTTCACTGAATGCAGGTCTTTGCCACCAGTATCAGAAACCTCATGCAGCCTGTAGGGAGTTATTTGAAAAAGCAATTTCTTGTCAGAGTAAACATATCGGTGCATGCGACAGAACAAATGGATCTTTCCAACTCTGCTGTGCTTCCAGGCAGAGGAGTGTCTGGAGCGACTGCAGAAGTGTATGTTCTGTGAACTGGAGGTGCCGTGGAAGCAGCTGGAGGAGCACACTGTGATGTGTGGGAGTCGCACAGAGCTCTGCCAGGACTGCGGTCGCTATGTCAAACTGAGTGACCAGTCAGAGCACAGTTCAACCTGCTCAGCTGCCGATGGAGAGGACTCGACTCAAACTCAAACTCAAACTCAAAGTACTGAAATGGACCAATTCAGCCTTGAACTTACTTAAAGTCCAGAATATATTTCCCTCCTGTTTAGCCTGAACTTTTCTTTGTCTCAGCAGAGAACAGAGTGAGCTGCAGTAACTTTGGGAGATCATTTCTAGAAAAAGAAATAGACCATCATGAGGTACGTTAAACATATTTCATTATGTTTTCTTGAGAAATTGTGAATCTAATATGAATCATGCAGTTCATAATTCATATTTTGTCATAATATTCTCATAGACCTCAATATGGCAATACTATCAAGGTAATGTATAATTGTCAAGAGGAAGGAAAAGGATGCAATATTTAACTTTATTTATAACAAGTAAATATCTGAAAAGTGTGGCATGTATATGTATTAAGTCCCTCTGAGGCAGTGCTTTGTAGAACTATACTTTACTTCAACTGCAGCTGCAAGTCTTTTGGGTTATGTCTCCACCAGCTTTGCCCTGCTTCAGTATCCCTTGTCACCAGAGCATGCTAATGCCACTACCATGTTTCACACATCTAAAAAGTTGTTTTCTGACCAGATTTTTTTTCCACTGAGGCTAATTTACCTTTGGGCAGGTATTAAACAGACCTTTTATTAATTCCACACCATAAAAATTTATGGTAAAAAATTTGTAAAACATCACCAGATACATACTTTAAGATTCAAAGCATTACATTACCTTAGAAAATACATGGAATTAATATAACTCAATAAACATAAATTTCACTTAATTGATGCAGTCATAAAATTCAGAAAACACAGAAATTTGTTGTGGATTGATATAAGACTTTATTTAGTCTTAAATGTTGTGTTTTGTCATCTGCTGATCCTGAACTGCATCTCCACAGTAATAGTTGGACTTATAGCCTCAAGAATTCACTTTGACACGTATCTATGTCTGTCTTCCTTTCTCACACGCAGGTGAGGTGTTATCAAGAATCAAAGCTGCTCTATGAAGAGGTTGACAACAAAGAAGAAAAGTGGGAGGATAAAGACGACTTATTCAAGCAGCAGAGTCAAGACCAGCTGAGAAGTGCTTATAAATCCACTTCCCAGTCACATGAAGGGACACGGGGTCCGTGGGTCAGTGGAGACCAGGACCAGATCAGCACCTGTCCACATTGTCATCTGGCCCTGCCGGTCTCAACACTGAAATGGCATGAGGTAAAATACCTGAATCACACAGGCTTTTTATTTATGCTAAATATTTCCTTTGATAACAATGTTTTTCTTCTTTTTCATGTTGTAGGCAAAATGCAGAGTCCATGCTGTCTTGAAAGACAGAGAGGGCTAAGGACGGAGACAAGTTTTTTGAACGGATCACCTGAGAGTAATGATCAGCATCCATTGTCTCAACTGCGTGTGTGTTTACATTTTTTTTGTTTAGTCATTTTTATTTTTAGCTGAATCATCTTTTGAAAGTGGAGTATTGTATATTTTCAAGCCATATGAGTGTCAATGGTGTGTCATAAAGACATCAGCTTTCCTCTTGTTTAAACTCTTGTCATTTGAAGGAAAGTGTGAATTCATCCCGGCAGAAGAAACACTATTTGGTTTCATGATATATTTTGTTATGAATATGAAATTACAAATAAAATCATCCATTATTGTGAATTTTGTGTACTTTCATTATGTAGTTTAATAAAATATTGTCTTTAAAAAAGTCAACAATTACTTTGGTCATTTAGTTTGTACTAATATGTTTGGAGCATAAACTACAGTAGTTTAGATTCCATACCCTACTGTCTTATTTCCACACTCACTGCAATTTTATCTATAATTCTGTTCAATGTATTAAAAATTTGTAAATATCCTGTCTCATTACATTTTCAGTGTCCCCCAAAATGCCAGTGTTTTTTATTGGAGTCCAAATCAAAGTAGTGTACTGTTGTGAATCGCAAGGGAAATGATGCATGTTTATAACATTTAAAATATATTTTTTTAATCTAAAAATTGGGTTCACCTGTGTGTAACTGGATATAGTATAAGCCATCTGTTTTGTGACATTTATAAATCTACTTCACAGGCTTTGAATGTCTCACAGAGCTTTGTTCAATCCGTCATCTGAAAATAGAGTATGCCACAACCAAGATATGGCCATCCAAATGAACTAAGTCATTCAAAAAGAGGTTTAATTTGAGAAAGCAGCCATGAGGCCCATGGTAATTGGAGGAGATGCAAAGATACCACAGCTCAGGTGTCTGTTGTCATGACTCCTTATAGTTGTCCTGGCAACTGAAAGTCCATAACATTTTATTGATGAGTTAGAATGTCAAACTATGCATCACCTTCCTTCCTCTTCACAATAATCTCCTACTTTGTGTTGGTGTCTCACACAAAAGTCTCAATAAACTACAGAGGTTGAAGTTCAAGAATATAATTAGTTTTGCCAGGCAGTGTGCTGACATAAAAACTTTTAGTAAGTGATTTTAAACTAGGAAAGTTTCAGTCACAGCGTAAAAAAAATTGGTATGTTATATAACTGTATTTATTTTCTGACATATTCTACATGCCTATATGTATCAATAACACATACACATGAAGCTTTGCTGCTGATTGGTCAGACGTGGCAAATGACAACTGGCTCCCGGAGCTGCATGCAGACGACCTCATCAATGTATAGAGAGTTGGTTTTGATGTTGATGTTGTCCTGCAGCTCCATCTGACAGCGAACCAGCGCCCTCTGTTCCTCCTCAGACAGAGCCAATTCCTCACGCAGTCTAACAGAACAAAATAAAAAACAAACAACCATGTCATGACAGGCTCTGAAGTACAATTTTTATGAACAGGAACTCTGAAAAAATCTATGAAAATAGAAAAGGGACGGTGGGTTTCCAGTGATATTCCAGTAAATGTGCTCTGTATTTCTTTGAATCCTGTAGTACTCACTTTAAAGCTCTAGAAATGTTAGCCATTGAGACATTACTTAGCAATACTTAGCAGATGGTAGAAACAGGGTCGAACCAGAGATTTGACAGAGATTTGACATGATTTTAAGATATAAAACCTGAGTCCAAGGCTATCCTAAACTTTCTACCTGAAGATTCAGCCAAATAACCAAGAGGCTGGAGGATAAGCTTTATTTTTACAATTACTGTACTATTTGTGGAGCCAAGAATAATATTATTTATGTTTCGTCTTCATTGAACTATAGAAAATTTCTTCCAGACAAGCAGCTTTTAATTTACCATAGTAAAATGTACCGTTTCAAAACTTAATTTTGAAGATAAAAGAATTGGATATCATCTGCATAGCAATGATGGAAAATATCCTTAAAAGATGACAGTATTGGGCCAAGTAGAAGCAGGTACAATAGACACAGCAATGGCCCCAAAACAGAACCGAATGTCAAATCGAACAGGACAGGGAAGGGATCTGTAAATACATAGATCTAACACAAAAGTTTTCAGAGAGCTGACAACATTTGACAGAGGATAGATCAAAACATGTTCATTACATGTTTTACTTGGATTACTTTAAATCCAAGTAAGCTGTTGTTGGCCACAGCCCCAACTCAATGTTTACACTCACATGTGAAAATACCTGCAATCAGATACACAATTATGCAACTGTACAAATTTGAAAAGCAGAAGTAGAGCCTTCTGCACAACCAACCACAAAAAGAGTGCATCAAGTGGCTTCTGGATGGTAAGCCTTCTGGATGGTAAGTCAACAACAAAACTCACGACTTTTTTAGTAGTCGTTATAGAGCGCATGTAGCAATAAAACCAGCTGACCAAACATGCTGGCACTTGGGTTGTTAAGTAATGGGCTGGGTTCTGCTGGGGTTGCTAGTTGAAGGGTAATGCCTGCTGATTTGTGATGTTATGTTCGAAAGACTTTTGAAATGGCTCACTTTCCAGACACCAAAAAACACTTGGGTTGTTTTCAGAAGCAAATGGAAGTACACTAACAACAGCAATTAACATGTATCGTATTGTAGGACTCACTTGGCGATGTGAAGGTTGAGCTGCTCAACCTCGGCGAGGAGTTGGACCTGGGGTGCATCGAGACACTGCTCTTTGCCAGGCCTCTCTTTGCGCAGAAGAAGCCGGGCCTGGGCCAAACTTAGGAACTGTTCATGCTCTGCGATGGCTGCCAGCAGATCCTCTCTGATCTTCTGAAGGTTGCCGATCTCACATAAGACCTAGAGAGCAGTACTCATAATTTTAACCATAAATCCCTGCCATCTCAAAGATACCAAATTAGACAATAAATCTAAAGCAAGATGCAAAAACAGTATCGGGCCAAGTAAATATACTGTGTCTTTCTTTGAATACGCAGTACAAATACTTACTATAAATCACTATTACTTCTTGATTTTGTCTTATTGTTGATATGTTTCTATTAATTTTGTTGATACTTCTCTTTTGCTTCTGGCGATAAACAACAATCCATAACTGTCCTGCACCTCAGCTAACTGTTGGGTAGTTATGGATTATTCTAAAACAAAAGGATGCATTTCCTTTTTCTGGTTACAAACAAAGAACGAAAATGTTTCTGCCCCATCCACCTTCTTGTGAGTCCACAAATTATCCATTTACACCTGCACGTGATTGGTGGTATGTCTCCACCATCTGATTGCGCATCTGAAGACTAAATGTTTTGGATGAGGAGTAGTTTTCAAATGAAGCAATAGATTTTAGTTTAGGTTTTGGTATGTACTTTGACTGAGCCATTTTAACATCCCCCTCACCAGATCACCTCGCTGCACATATTTGCTTTGATCCCTTTCAGCAGTGGCCTTCAATTTGATAAATTTTGGAATTGCACAACTAATAGTTGTCCTATTAGACACTATACTAATAGAGTATCTCTGCAGCTGCTCCAGTGACCCACAGTTCTTTTGGCTGCTATTCTGACTAATGCACATCTTGTCAGTTTTGGTGAAGAGCGAGGTCTCTGTAGATTAGAAGCCAGGCCATCCTCTTCTTCTGATCTTGTGACCGCATATAGAGCCCTACCTTCGGAAGCTTATCTTCCAGTTGGGTCTTGGCAGCCTTGAGCAGCTGAATGTTGAGCTGGAAGGCTTCATTAGTATTCCTGAACTGTTTCTGCATATCATCAGCCGCCTGCGCCAGCAGAGACTCCACCAGAGCACGCAGGGACAAAGAGTTATTCTTCTGCTGCTCCGCCCTGGCTATGTTGAGGTCTGAGATGTTCTCCCACTGCTTTGGGGTAACTGTTGCGCTGGAAAAGGGAAAGGAAACCATAAAAACAGCTTGGACTGAAAATACTTCATGATCTTCACCTGAAATCTTGACCAGTTTTGAAGACTTATAAGTCAAGTCTATAAACACAAATATATTAGGCAACTCTCAAAAGACGTTGAGAGATGAAGTTATAAAGTACCACCTTTTCAGTCTACCTAAGGATTCTCCAAATCGATCAGACTGTGAGGTCTTTTCCTGTAAACAGACTTTTAAGTAATCCCCAGATTTTATGTCAGATTTAGTTCTGGAGACTAAGATTTACTTTTTCTCTTCTGTCGTTATTGTCAAGAGGATGTGGATGCATTCTTGGACTCATTGTGGTGCTAAAAAATTTTAAAACTCCTCTTCATCTTCATCTTTTAGAGACGAGAAAGTTTCAGGTCAAAACCGACTTGGAAGAGTTTATGATTTTATTCAACTTGACAGAAAACACAAGTTTATCTATTAAAAAAAAGTTATTCCACAGTAAAACACTATCTCCACCATGTTTCCCTGTAGGTGTGGTGTTCATTTAGTGTCCACACACAGCTCTTGAAACCATTGTCAAAAAGGTCAAGTTTGCTTTTATTAGACCATAACATATTCTTTCATAATGTTGTGGGGTATTCTATTTAAAATATTTTAAACATTTTGTACCCTTCTCCTATGTGACACTTCTGAACAATTAGTTTCTTTTCATCTCTTGTCAATCTGGAAAACTTCATCTGCTTGTTTGATTTGATCCAGTTGTGCTGCAGCAATGAGGCATCTACAAGTTTCAGCTGTCAAAGACACCCATGGTGTAAATTAAGTTCATAGGTGTGCACTCTTATACAACTGGGTTACTGCTTTTTTTTTTTTTACATTTTTTATATTTCCTGCACAAACACACACATCCTACCCCTAGTGGATGTATTTTTCCGTTGAATTTTACCGAACAAATGTTAGATTAAATGTGGAATAGATAGTTTGTTGATCACTGTCTAATTCTTTACATGACAACGTTATTTTAGAAAGCCTGTGCGCAGGACCTGGCTCTCTCCAGGTACTCTAACTTCCTCCCACAATAGAACAATGAAAGGGTTACTTTTTTATTAGCGTAACCTGTTTCCTTGTGTGCTGTTCTGTTGCATTTTGATCAAATGTCCAGTCCTGTCCAAACCCTCACAGCTCACCACCATATCAGGCAGGTATGAGAAATTAAGTATAGAATCATGGATGGATGACAAATGTTTGTAACATTTTGTCTGTAAATTCAGATTTTTACCTCAAGCTTGTTATGGGCTTACTATTTTGTGTAATAGGTGCATTAAAATTAAAACAATAAAGAGGGCTTCAAATAACAGGCTTTAGATTAACTACACTATAGTATTTCTTGTTTTCTGGGAACAACAAGAAGCTGATGGTTTACCTTGACAGCATAGTGATGTTTTTCTTTGGCATTGGGTTATTAGGGATTGTCTGCATGGTCATCAAGGCACAAGAGTTGTCAATGTTTTGAGCTTGAAATTTCTCCTTCAGATCCCGTTCTAAATAGAACTTAGCAGACCTGTCCAGACTGTAGTAATAAAAGAAGATCAGCGTCATTTCATGTTCCTGTTCATGAAATGTATACTCATTCAGTAGTATCATTATAGGACAACACAATACACAGATATTAATCAGAGTTCTCACCGTATCTGCTCAGCAATCTGCTCTAGCACAATCTGAAGGAGACCTGACACTTCCTGTAACATTGAACATTCTTTCAGCAGCTCGGCGTCCACCGCATCATGCACCCTGTCAGAAGGGGCCCGTTTCCTTCTGCAAGGCACATAGCAGAACATTTTCACTCAACAGCGAGGCGTTTAAGCTTGAAGTTACTGAAATTTCAGGACAGCTGTCAGAAGCTTAAGACAGAAAAGAGAAAGGTAGGCCGTTTGCTTCTGATTTAGTGGTTTCACCTCGCCTCCAGACAGAGAAGAGTGACTTTCATTGCATCTTGGTACATCGCCAGGGCCTTCACCACTCTGCTTTGTAAGGCTTCAAGGGCATCAATCTCTGGAATAAGCTCTTCAAGCTTCATCTCCACCTCCTTCCTTAAAAACTGAATATCTCTGACCCGCTGATCTGAACACCAAGGAGAGAAAAGAAAAAGATCACAGCTCAATTACAAGCAAGCAATTTCCTTTAATTCTAAACATGAGCCACCACAACCCCATCATTTCCTACTTACCAAGGCGCTTACTGTCACCATCTTGCATACGGATACATGCGCTCTCAGACTCCGACATGAGCCTCTTGCACTCTGCTCGAAAGAGCTCAGAGCGGTTCAGGACAACCTCAACATTGAGGAGATCAGGTCCATCAAATTTCGGGATAGTCACGTCTAGGACAGACATGGTTCTGAAGAAAGATAGATGGCAAGGAGAATGTCAGAGGAGCGGATAACAGAAAATACAATTATTAATGGTAAAATATAAATAATTTACCTCTTTTATAACTGGGTTTTTAGATGTTAGGGAAAATTTAAAAATAATTTGGTCTTTACCTGGTCTTAAAATTATTCTAATAAATTTTAAGTACCAGTAAATAAAAACACAATGGATTCCACTATGCCATTATTTATTACACAAAACATAAATATCATGTCAGTACTCTTAGAAAAGGACTATGCAGGTACTGCTTTCAGGGCTGAAACAACTAATCTTCAATTAATTTAGTATTCCGTTCATTTGAGTATGCAGACTGAGAACAGGCTGTTTGCTGAAAGAACAATATGCAAAAGAAATTTACATTTTTCATTTAAGATTAAAAAAGCCTTTGTAAATTTGTTCTACTCAGAATTCCTGCCCAGGTAATAGTCAGAATATTCGATAGATTAATCAATTAATCAAATAATCATTTGTTGCAGCCCAAATGACTTTTTAGAAAAGGGTCCCAGAAGAAAGCTTTGTCTATAAAACCACTGAAGCAGTCCTGCAAAAAAAAAAAAAAAAAAACTGTGGAAAACAACAAAACGAGAGACTGAGAGTTTAAGTGACAGACTGAAATGCACTTAAAACCTTATCCTGACTGCGGGGATTCTGTTATGTGTTTTCGAAAGGACTAAATAACATACTGTTTCAGAATACTTAAAACCATAAAACACATTGAACTTTATTTTCACGCCCGAGTTTTTATTCTTAAACAATTAAAAAAAACAAAAACCGTTGACATTAGCAACAAGTCACCCACACCTGAACCTGTTAGCTAACCAGTGCTCTTTAAGAAAAAAAAGTACAATTTTCATCTCGACATTAATATAAGTTTATGAATGAATAAGTTGCTGTGTGAAACGCACCTTCTTTCGCGCAGCTGAAACAAACAAAATGTAGCGGATATCCCGCCGACTGCAGGCACAAATTAACAAAACAAATGGTTACTATGGCAACCGCTCGGGACAAGCTAAAAGCGAGATTCCTCCGCGGGCAGCACTGCGGCGCTGCGTTTGACCGCCGCGTTTTAACTGCATGGTGCGTTCAAGTCAAGTCGTACACTAGCCCATCAACGTTGAGACAACTCTAAAACGATTAAATCTTTTTTTTCTCTCTCTCGTCAACGGTCATTAAAGGTGTTTTACTACAAGTTTCAGCTGTAAACTTGTTTCACATGACATTATTGAAGATCGGTTCTGTTAAATGATCGAAATCTGAGGTGTTGCTATCCATGGTACTGGACAGTCCGTTTGTTTAATTGGAAAGAAAATATTCTAAGCTGCAGCAGAATCACAATGAAACTTTAATGGCTTGTTAATTAAACAGTTGAAAGGAAAGTGATTCAATTTTAAAGCATTTTAAAAAGCGGCCACTATATTCAGACAAATATTAATTAAGTGTATTATCTCATTTTTTTTATCAATCAGTTTAATTGGTTTATATTATGATTCTTTAGCAGGTTTTTTTTTTCTGAATAGGCTACATCAGTTCTCTGACATTTACCAAGTCATGTCCCCACATCATTTCCATCCTGAATGCTGTTATTTACCATCTGTGTTAATAGAACATAAGTTTTTGTTTAGTATTTAAAGTGTTAACTCTTTATTACATTCCTAGATTATCTAAAAATTGTGCAAAAATTACAGTAAGTGAGCTCAAAGCTGATTAAAAATGCCAGTTACCAGTACATGTTGTACATTGTCCAGCATAAATACCAACAAATGAATAAAACCAAGACAGTATGGAATTATATAAGTTTTATTTTTGAAAAGATTTTTTACAGTACATTTGGAAAGAAGCAGCTGACAAAAAAAGTCAAAACAAGTTCCAGAGAGCTGAGATATGGCTCTAAGTTTATAACAGAAAGACCAAACTGAGATCTGAAAAAATAAGCAATATAGATGTCAAAAGATTAAACATAAGGAACTGGTGATGAAGAGGTCAAAGTTACGGCAAGCAGCATACAGTTCAGTTTAGACAATAGCTTTGAAGGCACTTGATGAATTTGCCACATAACATATGCTGAATAAAATAATGACAATTTTTAAATATATACTATATATATATAGTCGTACACTATGTTATATAGTGAACACTATATTTTATATAGTGAATAGATATTCACTATATAACATAGTGAATATATATATATGTTTAAAAACATTAAACAGTGCAAAAACATTCATTAAGTTTACAGTGATGCCACAATCTACATTTAAAGGGAATGATTTTGATATTTTCTTTTAAACTCCTATGGGCTGAAGTTGCAAAGCTGACCTGTAGTCATTGGAAATGGATCCAACTAATAAAACAGCAGTTCAGTTCTCAGTGAACAACTGGAGATCTTTAAAATCCAAACGGTCAAATTGTCTTTGTACAGCAGCTTGTCTCTAATATCAATAATCACAAATAATTTAAAATCACAATCACATCTAGCTTTCACACAACAGCAGTGATTTTTTTCATGACAGTACACAGAAGCAATGCAGAACAAAAACTTCACATTTTTCTAAATGTTTCACACTTTCTGCACACTTTATAATTTAACAAAATAATCTCTTTTTTAAGGTTATTTTCTTCAATGAGAGAAGATGCTGTAAAATGAGGAATCAGTGCTTTTCACAAGCACAGACTGGCTCTCAGAAAAAGCATAAAATTGCTGAAAATGTGAAAAGTTTACATATAAATTGGTGTAATTAAGATAGCATGGAAAGAGAACAGTTTGCTTCCCAATTCCCTTTTCCAAGCTGACTGGAAGTTTGCTGTCTTCTAACAGAAGCCGAGCTTAAGCAGAAAACCTGCCATAGTTTCTTCGTCCCTGAGCTGCTCTAAAGGAAATTCTCCAACATCCTTCATCTTTACATCTATAAGATATTGGACATTTACCAGGTAGCTGGTCTGTCTACCAGAAGATCATTCATTCCAGAAAAATACACCAACCACAGAGGTGTTGGCGTCAGTCGGGATGAGATTCCTAATTTGAATTCTGAGCTGGAGGTCAAGAAACCGGGCCAGTTAAGGTCAGATCATTTGTTCCACATCTGGGAGCAATTTGCTTCAAAAGTCTTCATTTCTTGCTATTCTGTCCAGTCCATTGATCCTCTCAGGAAACAAGCCTTCTGCTACAGCTACCTTGGACTCTTGGACCTGAAAATACAAAAAAAATAAATAAATAAATAAATAAAGAAAGAAAGAAACAACACTGAGTTTTAGGCGATTCCTTGGAAAAATTTAGAAAATTTGAGTCGTAAAATGTTCCTTTATGGAGGGTTTTTGTAGATGTCACCAACTCAAATGAACAAAAGGAAATACTATATTTTATATAATAGCGCCATGCATTTTTTTTTCCACAGAATGCATGTTGTATTGTACTGGTTGGCAACAGAAGTGAGCTAAAGGCACAGACAAAAGTCATCCAGCCAAGTGCCGATAATTTACACTTATCAATGAAGATGAAGAAAAACCACAGAGCTGGCAAGGATTTATTAGCAACTTAATCGGTGGCATCCTTAGTAGCCTCAAGTCCGAATATAATGAAGATATCTCAATTTTTGACTAACAGAAAAGTCCCATGAAAAAAATTATGGGACTTTAATATGGGAGATTAAACAGACTAATGAGTATTTCAGATCAACTTACCGGTATGTATTTTCTAAGGAATTTAAGACATTTTAAGGTCTTAAGTTTGGATACATGATTTTCAGACTTTTTGAGGATGTGTGAACACCCTGCTATGAGTGCTCAGCTGACAGTAATCCAGTAGAAATATTAATAACTAACATATTGAAGAATTATGTCCCCAAATCAAAACATTCCAAAAGCACAATCATTTCATCAATCCTAATTTAATGCACACTTTCTTTCATATTAATGCATGATTTTGTTGATCACTCACCTTAAATGGTTCACTAATTCCAATGATGGACCGCAGTTTGCTGCTATAGTAACACAGGACACACTCTCCCCCCCTAACCGGGATTTCCTCTTTACCCATGAACACCTAAAAACAACAAAAGAGTAAAACCCCTCTGCAAACATTTCTACTCAGGCTCAGCAACACTCCAAGCTTCTTTAGCTCCTACCTGCATCACTTTGTCGTTAAAGGCCACTTCATCGTCTTTGACCCATGTGTAGGTGATGTAGTCCGACATGCTACTGAATCCAACCTGAAATCCAGACATGGAGTGAGTGAGGTTGAAACAGAAACCTTAATGAGCTGCTGGTGGACGGATAACCTTGTAGAGCCCGATCCAGTCCCAAGAACTGGATGGGAAGGGCTGCAAGGGGTTGTAGAGAACAATGGAGTCAATGTCCGCACTCCAGTCGCCTTCTGCATGCAGACTCACAAGAGGAGTTCGGTGCATCCTTGTCAGCTTTAAGGATAAAGATACCAAATTTAATGGGTGTTTAACTATTAAAGACAATCATTATAAAGCAAGATTATACCAAACAATGTGTATTTATTCATACCTATTGTCAAGATTACAAAAACAAAGTTCATCTTCATTTTCATCTCGTCTTAAAATGACTCAAAATCACAAAGTTGTCTGAAAAATTCTCTGATTTCCTAACTGGGAAGTCTGAATCTGGGGGACCTTAAGGTTAATTTTTCCAACTCAGAAGTCAGAATTTGTTGGGTTCTGAATACATATGGACTGCAGCTCATCTGTAGGTTAAATCTCATATTTTCAATAGCAATTCTTGTCATTTCTATGAATGCAAAAAGAGGTTTCAGTTCACGTATGCAGCCCTTACTTTGGTTCCAAAAACAGAGGCCCTGAGCTCAAACTGTATTAATGCAGAATGAAGACACAAAGCAAGAGAACTGAGCTCTGATTCATCAATTTCTTCCCGCTTGATGGAGTTTCTCACCTCCAGGGTGAAGATGCCGATCACAGGTTTGTGGTCACTGATGCTGTACTCCATGTTGCTGGTGTATAAGTCCTGCCGGACCTTCAGAGGATATTCCTCCTCCTCTTTCAGTCGACTCCTCTCCTTTACATCGTTTTCATCTTGCTCGTCATTGGATTGGAATTTGGGTCGGACCCGCCACAGAATCCGGTCGGTCCAGGCAGGTTTTCGCTTCTTACCGCTAAACAGGTGATCACAGACAAAACAAGGAAGGAAAATGTCAATTTGGCAAATAAAACAGTGCTTGACACTTGTTTACAAGTTTTTGTAAACAAGAACTTGTTGAACCTGTTCATGTTTGATGAAATGACAACCACAAACTTTATGCTTTGGTAAAGATTTCAGGTGATCAGCCAGCACATAGCGGTGCAATATTATAGAGGCGAAAGAATAAAACTTTGTCTATATTGACATTTTTCTCCATCAAATATTTGAATCTTTTATTTCTGTTAAGGCTGCAGATATTTAAAACATGTACAACATATTTATTTCCCATCTTTGTGTAGCCAACTGCTTGTTTCCACTGTTAGATACAAAAGCAAAGTATTCAACCCTGAATAATGCAGAGAGCAGCATCAATATTTGTATCCACTCAAGGTGTAATCTTACAATCACTCCTGTTAACATTATGAAACTCATACAGTCACTGGTCAAGAATTGCTGCAACCCTTATTTCTGTCCACACATGTTAGATATTAAGCCAGCCATATTAGAAAACATGCTTCCTTTTACATGAACAATTATGAAAAGTAGCAGTATGGTGGCAAACAGTGAGGGTTAACAGAAGGCAATACAGGTAACGGATACCAATGATGCTTCACAATCCATATTTCTTATACAAATAGCATTTAACATGTAATCCTCACAAAAATTTAGGAAAATTTGGCTTTGGGGTGAAATATGTAGAATATGGATCTGTGTTGCAACCTGCTGATGATGACCTAAACTCAATTTAATTCAAGATACAATGCCACTTTTAGTAGGAGGTAAAAGTGGTACATATGCACATTAAAGCATGGTTAGATGAATTAGGTACAGCTAAATACAGAGCCTAGCTAAAGCATTCATATCTCTCAAACCTTTTTGAAAGCTGCAGTATGAAACTTTTATAAAAATATATTTTTTTATATATTTCTTAAAACTTTCACTATGTCCTGATGGCATACCAAGACATAGAACATCTGTGAGAAAAAATGAGCTCCTATATGTCCTCCCAGTGCTGCTATTGCTGGCTGCAGAAATACACTGTTCAGTCAGAAACAACCAATCAGAGCCAGGAAGAAGGCCTTAGCGCTGTGCTAAATGTGATCATGGTGGAGAAAACAACTTCCTGTCACAGGAAAACAGTTTATCCTCCATCATCGGTGGCCATGCTAACTAGCCTGAGTTTTCAGGCTCTGGTGTAGGAAAGGAGTGTAGCCCAGCAGAGAGCAACAGCGCTGAGATCCTCCTCCTGGCTCTATTTGGTTGTTTCAGACAGACTGTTGTATTTCTGCGAACAACAGTAGGACCACAGAACGGAGGGAGAGGAGCACAATTTTTCAGATTATCTGTCAGGACATAGTAATAGTTTTAACAAACATGTAAAAAAAACATTTTTCATAAAAGGTAATTACTGTTTATTTAAATCTGATTTTGTCATGTTACAGCAACAAACTTTAATGTAAATTTGAGCCCAAAAGTATTCATACCCCTGGCAGATTAGGCTCTTAAGAGCATGTTGGAAAAACAATAAAACTGCTTGAAAAGAGTAAAGATATTTAATCATTTAAAAATAATTGACCTGGTTTTATTTACAATTTACTAAAAATGTCACGTCAATAATAACCTATAGCCTTATAAACAATATATGGCAAGATATTTATTGGCACTATAACAATGAAGGCCTTTCTATAATTCCTGATCAGGAGTCTGACTGGGTCACTCAAAAACTATTACCATTGCTTCCAGTCAGAGGAAACATGCTGGTAAAATGAAATGACAACTAAAACTAAATCTGCAACGAATATGAATAATTTTGGTCTTATCTGTATCTGTGTTTATAAATTGTGTTTATAACATGGTGAAATGTGGAAGAGTTCAGGAGTAGCAGTGACTTTAGAAGGTTCTGTATTTCAGGAAAATGTGCATATGACTGGACTTTAGGAACGCTTACATAAAGCCAAACCATGTTGTGTAGAATCTGTAAAGTTAAAAAGACGCGAAGATAAAATGAACACAAATTGGAAATAAAATTATGATTTTAATTATCATCATGATTTCAATCTGAGTACCTGCTGTCATAGGTATCTGAGTTCAAGTCAAATTTGTATGTGGGCTGAAAGTCCAGTGGTCCTTCTTCAAACTCCTGCAGCAGCTGTTCCTTTTTCTTCAACATGATCAGCTGAAAACACAAGTTTTTTACACAACATCATCATAGTTAGCGAAGTACTGATGGATGACCCCTGGATTTTCTCACAAATACGAGCTGAAAGACCGTGAAAAAGTCCAACCTGGTCATGACTCCAAAGCAGGTTGTAGGTTTGGTTGTTGATACACGAGCGGACAAAGTGCATGCCATGGTCCTGGATCCTGAAGTTGAGATCTCCAAACCAGAATACTAACCTGATAAGAACGACAGCAGAAATGAATAAAACATGTTACCTATGCTGTTTGAGCTATGTGTGTTTTCTCACCTGTGGTCAATTATTCTTGGAGCTTTCTTGCAATCGAAGGTCTGTGTGTTCATGATGTGCTCAAACTCATCCACCCTTTCATTTGCATAGTTCATATGAGCAGCCAGGTGGCAGTTGAGGAAGCAGAGCATGTGTCCATAAAAAGACAGACGAACCGACACACCGCCTTTGTTACCCTGACAGACAAACAGGAAGAGAGAGAAATAAAACAGTCAAACATGCAGGAGTAAGAGTAAAAACATACGGAGCACTGAAACATACAAAAATTTCCTTCTGCATTTTTGGTTCACTTCATGAATCAAACAGAATAATAAGGATGCAGTGTGGTTTTAGGAACTATTGTACTAAAAATGTGAAACTTCAAGTGTGCATTTGAAAATGTGCTCTCACATTTTTCACATTAAGTTTTTTATGTATTTAACAACAAATAGTGACACATTACTGTTTTCAAACACTCCTGGTGAGAACATCACTGGATTCAGAAACAGCTTAGGCCCTCTTTTTACCCGATTATAAAGTCCTAATAAGAGTATAAATACAAACTAGTGTGTGCGTGTGTGTGCGTGTGTGTGTGTGCGTGTGTGTGCGTGTGTATGCGTGTGCGCACACGCGTGCATGTGTGTGTATGTGCTTCAATTCAAAACTCAATTTGAATTAAATTGAAATTTTCTGTGTGTATTTACTGCTCACCCAGTAACCAAATATGCCAGTGCGGGTGTAGGTGGCCTGGATGTCTCTGATGAAGGGGACGTGCTCCAGTTTGGAGAAGAAGAGCAGCAGCAGACCCTGCATTCTTATCGATGACAGCTGAAACATTTTGTTTCACAACATATACAACCCTTAGTTTGAAAGCATTCACTGTTTAGTAAGACGATTAATAATAAGACAGTAAGCAGTGTAGTAAGAATACTATGCAGAATATGTCCATTAGTTGGTGTATAAAGAAAATGTACCTTGACATAATTTAACGGAGCTAGTGTGGAAATAAACAGCTGACTCCATGGGTCGTCAAATATCATGTCCGACACAAACCTCACTGGTCCTGAGTACACTTCCTGCAACCTGCGCACATACAGGTATGACTGTCAATCTGCCATATAAATACACACAAAATTGTTGGTACCCCTCTAGCAATGATGGAAAAATCCATCATATCTAGATGATGGCCACAGAAATAACTTGAAAGCAATAAAAGTAATAATAAATAAAAATGTACTGAAAATAGCCTATGGAAATTTGACATTGTATATGAATTTCAACTGAATAATTTTAAAAAACAAACAGACCTATAACTTTATTGTTGCTCAATCTTTTGAAGCAATCACTGAAAAAAACTATTTCTGTAACTCTTAATGAGACAGCAGTGCATGATTTTCATTGCTTCATTTTTATTACTTTAGTCAATTTCAAGTTATTTCAGTGACCTCTGTTTTTTTTTATTCATTAACAAAGGCCTACCAACAGTTTTGCCATTTGTACAACTATGAAAAAGAAAACTTCAGCCATACCCTATGACATAGAGGTCAGGAGTCTTTGGTGAATTCAAGTGGAGAAGTGAGGCCACATCATCAGGAGGACCAGCCGTCGCCACGTTCCACGTCACCATGTGAAGTCTGGAAGATGGAAAAAAAGATCATTCTGCTTCCACTTATTCGTAAAACTTTTTGGGTCAGCGCTTCTCTTTAACCACCAACCAAAGAAAAGCTCATCAAACCTGAGCGTGAACGCTGTTACAATGGCAGCAGTGAGATACCGCTGCTGGAAGTAAATCAAGCTGCTACAGTTTATTCAGACTCAACTCAGAGCTACAAATTGAAGAAAAATAGAAGAAGTTATGAAGGAGAAAAAAAGACTTTTGTTGAGAACAGAAAGGGGCATAGATAAAAAAAAAATAAAAAAACAGAGCAAAAATATTTCTCTAAAAAACTGATCTCTGCGTTCAGCTCCTTATTGTTCCACCTGAAGTTGTCCTTTTTTGGCTTGTTGGCTCTCTTGGCACAGGAGAGGAAGGCACTATCCAGAGTCTTGATCATTTTCTGGTGTAGCTCGGTTTTGGGGTCCAGGTCATCCACGCAGGTCATCAGCTGGTTTAGCCGATGGCGCAGAGCCAGTTTGCTCGCTGTTGACTGTGTGGCATCAGAAGAGAGGGTGTCACTTCGGAGGCGCCCCATGGTTCCCAGCAGACTGCTGATTTCGTCCATTCTGGCTCAAGATGCAAATCCAGTAACAACTCCCTGAATCCCCCACTGAGAAGGTTCTAAAGTTACCTGAAGCACTCAGTGAAAAATATTAAAAACGGGTTGATTAAAGAGTGAATCAAGGGAAACAAGAGTGCTTTTAGTGTAGAATCAAACCACTAAAGGGGAAGTGGAGAAAGCCCAGGCTGAGTAGCTGGGCAGGGAGATTAGGGAATTGGCTCATTTGTCTACAAGTCGTCTTTGTGCTCTGAACTCTACCTCTAATCTCACTGGAAAATGTCCCAACAATAGGCCTATTAAAATAATTGAGAAAGCACATTGCAAACGAGATCAGAACTGCTCCTGCCTCAGCTAGACGGCAGCACGCTGGCCGGTTGTTTCACTCCAAATCCGCATTAGGTGTATGTTGTTGAGCAACCTAATCCGCCCATCAGAATGCAGTAGAGTGGTAAATAGTGCTCCGGGTTTAGAGTTACAACACATTCAATCCTACATGACTCACGCAATTAGGCTTTTTAAAGAGATCCCTGCAGTACCAGGCACGGCTCAAAGAGCAGATCCACTATTTACACCAAAACCTTTGAGAGAAGAAGGAGAACAGCTTCATGCTGACACTTGATGAAGATACTTTTTAACTTGGTGCTACAATGTAAAGTAGGATGTCATGATGAAGAGTTTTACCCTCACCTACCCTATGATTATGACATCGAGATCACAACAGAAATAACAAGACCATGAAAAGAGCTTCGCCAGTAGAAAATAAAGCATTAAAAAGAGTCAGCTGAGTTGGTTCAGACATCTGATCAGGATTCCTCTGACAGTCCGGACTCATCTCAAAAGAAGAAGATCCTATGGGAGGTCCAGAACTCAGTGCAGGGAAAACATTTTTGTGACCTTCTGTGAAGCCCCTTATGCTGATGGGTAAATGGCAAAAAGTGATTTCTGTTCAATCACAATACTGTAAACAGAGTGATCCTTGGTGAACATCCCAAATTAAGCAAAGAACAATGGATGAACAAATAGATGGATCCATGGAGACCCTTCTTGCAACTTCAAGGTCTTAAAAGATCTAATGCTGACAGCTTAGTACTAAATATAGCAGCAAATACATGGCTATAAGTATTGCTGTGGCTAAAAATTCTTAATTTTGTGCAATTTTTTAAATACATGTTTACCTTCGTGTGAGCCTCCATGCTTCAATCCTGGTGTTACACCTGAATTTTTCCACCGTGGGACAATAAAAGATTTCTATTCTATACGTGCAAATCATAGGAAGTATTTCAAGTTTGTTTAAAAGATTCTAAAACATCACAGAAGTGCTGCAGGCAACATAAAAGCAATAAACAACAAAAAAGAAAAGTAAGATTAACTTTCTGTTTGAGGGGATATGCACCAAGCATCATCTCATTTCACCCAACACTGTTAACCAGGTAACACTTTATACCTGGTTTCTAACTTGTGCCAGATCCACCTTCAGTATTACAGAGCAGAACATCAATATGACTTGATTGACTTGTTCATTAACCGGAAGAAGATCCTACCTGAATCTTTCACTTTCCTTCTCCAGTGGCTGATGATCATCTGGTTTCTCCTCGTTCTCATCCATCCTCTCTACACCTAGCAGCACCAGATGTAACAGTTCAACTCCAGATTCGTCATTGGAAACAGCTAATCAGCCAATATCAGACCTTTTATTATTTTTTCTTGAATTCTGTAAACTTATTTATTACAAACCGTTGGTTCCAAATCCTCTGGTGATGTGCTACTGTAACGAAATACAACGCTAGCTGCATTGCGCAGCAAGCTAAAGAGGGCCCTGTTTTAAATTAAGTACTAAATACCCGAAGCAACGAGATGCACCAGATGTTATATTATCACGTTCAACCTGAAAGGGTTTGGTCATATTTATTTTGGCTTTAAAATCAACTTACACGAAGGAGTACAACAGTCAGAAGCCGCAGAAGTGCAATGTTGTTGTTGTTCCCGCCCCTAACCGGAAAGCAGGTAGTTTACTTTCAAAATAAAAGACTTCCTCTAAGAGCTGCTTCTTCTATACGTCAGCGTGTTGGTCATATTGTGAGTTGCAAGGTCGTTTACTATCTAATAGATGTGTGTAGTCTGGATTTCACAAATAAAAGAGGTAACAAACATCTGGATTTAATTATTTCCATTTATCGGTTTATCTAGTTCTTGTAACACTAATGTTGGTGAGATTTGTAAATATGCTTTAATGTTGAATCAACTTTTTTTTACGCAAGCAGGGAATGATTGTCTGCTCCTCTTAATATGATTCTTCCAGAATTCAATGTCAAACTACATGTTGCCAATGAAAAATGTATTTAATACAACGCACACATCCCATAAAACTCTAGAATATTTGCAACTGACATCTGACAAGACTCATAATGACAAATTTTTTTTAAATCTTTAATCAATTCAGCTTCTTGGAGACATAACACTCAAACCTTGATCTTAATTATTAAGTATCTAGTGCTGGTAGCTCATTATTAAACACTCTTATGTGTCTAAAAATATCTATCCTCAAGTTTTTATTGTCTCAGTCAATCATGGCATGATTGAAGGCACAAAAAGTGGAGCAAATGATAATTTGGACAAAATTAGGAAATAACATCAGTGCCACAGAAACCATCACAGGGAGAATATTCCTGACTCCTCTAGTTACTTACAGTACAAAAACAAACAACACTTACAAATATTGATAGAAAAGTTTCCTTACTGTGGAAAGTAAACAATAAATCAAAGAAATAATACAAAATCAAGAGGATTAACAAATCCTTTATGCCCAGAGAACCCACACCAGTATATTTTAAAAATTGTTAGGAATAGGCATAAACAAGAACATTTAATCCAAAAAGAAGATCTTTTAACTTGCATCTTAAATAAAAAACTAAACTAAAAGCAGCCGTAGTCAAATTTAATAGTACATAAATATGCACGAGTGCTTTGCAATAATGAGCTCTTATTAAGAGCAAATCTTTATTAAGATGTAAGGGGCAGGTGTTCTTGATTATGCCTAGGAAGCCACTGTAGTTCCAGTCAGCCTGGTGAGTGGAGGGCAAGCTTGCTGGACAAGGTCAGGTCCTCCAGCATCACATGGGTCTGGGTAGAAAAACAGAAGACACAATAAGACTAATTCTGTTTAGAGAAACATTAATTTAATATAAATGTTTATTTCTGACTTACAGCTTTGACATCACTCATCAGAGGCACCCATTCCTTTGACCTCCTCAGTTTCCCTCATCTATTGACAGAAACATGGTAGTGAGAAGTGTGCACAGCTACATCTTACTTTTCTTGTATATACATTTTTCATAGAATATTTTATCTAATATTCTATTTTTGCCATAATCAAAATGACAGTAAATAAAGACTTAAAATATTGAATTTCACCTGTACTGGATTTAAATACGAGTTTCACTCTCCTGAAATGGGGTGAAAATTATGAAGTCATGCTTGAAAGTTAAGTTAGTATGTTAAGTTTTGAACTGTACCTGTATGGAGGAGGAAGTGGAGATTGCAGTTTGATATGAGTATCACTAGATGTCACCATAACCCCACAATTACACTTTTGAAAAAGGAATTTCTCAAGGTGGATTTATTTTGTTTGATCCATTCAATACATGCAGTCCAGGGTGCAGTCAAATTTAGACAGATTAAATCTGCCAGGTGATACTTTAATTTACTCTTACAGCACACAGTCCAAAGAAGCTGCTTTTAAAATATTTGTATTAGGTCATTTCCTTTGTATGAAGTCTTGTACTAAGTCTTGTTCACTTTAACTGGAACTAGAGATGCATCAACATTTGGACTGATATCCAAACATATTTTTCTACATTTCATTCACCTGATCTAGTTCCTTCTTCGTCTCCTCCTCCATACGCCGAATGTCGTCCATCGACAGCTCAATCCATTTGTCAATCCAGCAAAACAGCTGCCTGTGGAAGTGGGTAAACAAACGCTTTTCCACCTGGACACAGCAGAAGTGGGAAATGACAGAAATTGAAAGGGATGGAAACAGAAGTCAACCATTTTTACAACAAAGGCCAAATTCTACAACAAATCAAAATATGACAATTGTAACATTTCTTTTACTTTTTGAATGAAGCTCTCCATCTTGTTTTGTAGTCCCAGCCACTTGAATTCAACAGTGACTAATTTGTAGGCACACATGTGAGGACAGTCTTTGTTGTTGGCAAGCTCATTCTGCAGATTTAGAGAAAAAGCAAAAATTAACAAGTTAAATAAGTTAAGGTATTTTAATCACAAAATAATATTCTGTACCTGCCACCCAGTTTTCAGAGGGCCTCTTCCTGTCTTTTCTGATTTAAAGATGGCAGGATCTTCTTCCTTTTTGTAGTCCTGTAAAAATCAAGGAAGCATGTAAAATATCATTGAGACAAGAAAATACCTAATCACTCCTTTACTGAATGTATTTTCAGAAGAAATCTCATTTTCCATTATTCTTTTCTTCATATCACTAATAAATTTGATGGAGATATGACAAAGACGGCAAACTAAATGGTGCCAACTTTGTCCCTAAATTATTAACTACCAATTAAAATGCTGTTTTTCCACTTTTTTTTTCTTTTAACAGACCCATAATAATTTAATTTCTGACCTTATAACGTCCATGTTTCGGAATTTCTTCAAAAATTCAAGTTTTATTTCTTAATGTGAAAATATTTTTATGGTAGATTTACAGAGCTAAAAGTGGAGTCAAAGAGGTTGAAATTGCAGAAAATATGACTGAAGATTTCTCATATATACTTCAGAAGTAACTTAATAAAAACAAAATATATTTTGATCATGATATTTCTATGAGAACCCATTTTTATATCTAAAGTACACTGATAGACCAAGTATTATGCATAAGCAATAAAATAATCCTAATCAATATTGCTACCTATTTTTGATATTCCTAGGATCAAGTAACAACACAAAAAACTGTATATCAAACACTAATAAAAAAAAGACAGCTACACTAACATTTAAAAATTTTAAAGGAATAAAAATTCAGAAAAAGCATGATGAGGACTGATAATGGATTAAAAAAAAAACATTTGAAAGCAACAACGTGAAGCAAGTTATTCGTTCAGCATTCTGTACAAAGATAGAGTACTAAAAACAGCATCTGAAGGTTATATTTAGAAGCATTCATCACAGAAGAATCTGAGCTGAAAACTGGTCTTGTTTAAGTTTCTAAAATGTTTTCTTACCTTTTCATTGATGCAGCTGTTATCTGCAATGTCAATTTTAACAACTTCAACTGAATCCCATTTCTCCACGTTATGTACCTGCAGAGTAGTAAAGAAATGTTCAGGGTTTCATTGAACAGGGAGGACTCAAATAAGTGGCAGAATTAAAACAGAAACAGCCAATTACAAAGCAGATACGCTTTATGAACTCTAGCTCTTGCATTGATAATTTAACACATGTGTCAAATGTGGGAGCAATCTGAAGAGAAGTAGTTAAGATCCAGGGGTTAATGGACAACTGAGAAGGTTTCATGTTTTTCTTTTCTTGGGTAAACATGCTGCCGAGCAGACATGCAGGTAAAATGCAGCTCTGCACATGCTCTGCACATTTGACATGTTCATTCACAACTTCTTATTGGTTCATTTTAATATACTGATTTATTACCTTGTGGTCAATAAAAACAGAAAAAGCTACTTATGTGTGGCAGGATTGTTTGAGTTTTAAACATTCAGTGAAAAATGAAGTTTTGGAAATAACTGATCTGTCTGAACATCAGAAACCTCGAGCATCCTGTGTGGTTTTCAGCACCCTGATTCACAACTGCATTGGAGCTGCTGGGTTACATGCACAGGTTTTGTGTTATCACATTAGAATATAAACACACAAACACAAAGCTTTATTGTTTTGTATTAATAGGTCCCAGAACTACATGCAACATTGGCATACAATGACTTCAATTATAAATGAAGGATAACATTCATATTCTGAAGAGTACAACATCTGCGGGTTCTGTGTCAACCTAAGATTGTTTAATATTTTATTTTACTGCTTAGGCAGAAGGCAGTGGACATAATTCCCTCAAAATCATGACCGTCTGTGTAAACTTTAATTTTTCTCCCATTCTTTTAAATTAATCTCAGCTGAACTTTAGCGCATTGATGTCAAACTCAAGGCCCGGGGGCCAAATCTGGACCGCTGTAGCTTCTTGTGTGGCCCTCCAGACTACAAATTATATCAATAAGGCCCTCTAGTTTTTCACAAATTTTCAAAATTCACAAAAATCAACAAATCTCCACATTTTTCTCTGATTTTACTGCAAAATTTCTCAATATTGGTCTAAAATGTTGAGTTTAAGTGACTGGTACCTCAGCCTTACTTTAGATACCAGTCAAGTTATAATCTGTAATGAAAAGTCACATTTATCAAACACTAGCACAAATATCATATAAAATCATGGCAAAATTTTCTAAATTGGCACCACAGAACCTGTAATTTTGATTGCAAAAAGACCCTCACTAAAACA